AATAGGCAAATGTGCCCTAAAACTCCTTGGAGAAAACTTACTTCCTTTCTCAGTCCTGTGGAGATATATATCTTACCACATCTTTGAAATGGAAACATCAAAGGAGTTAACTAAAACAACTGTAACCATTTGAGACTAAAGAAAAAAGGGGAGGAAGGAGAAGCTTTAAAAAAACCCACAGAACCCCCAAAATTTAGTCCACAGCCTCCATAAGATTGCTAACAAAAGGCAAATGAAAAACTTTGTCTTCTCCACAAATATTGATAAGTCAGCCATCTGAGCAGGTGACACCCTTAAGCTATTCCATCTGACAAAACCACAATTTGCATCCAACTGTTCTTTTATAAACTAATAAGTTTTATATTGTACCTATCTGATGGCTAAAATTTTTAAATGAATGCTACAGGATCTCTGTTTGCATCTGTCTATGTACAACTATGCAGGTATATGTGTTTTTTCTACCTTTGGATGGTGCTGCTAAAAGTAATTTGTGAAAGAGATCTAATTGGCATAAAGAAAAAGCACTTACATAACTTAAGAATTCCGAAAACCCAAAAGTATAGAAACTAGCCCAGATACAAGTTCATGTGACTCAGGTAAATTTTTGTTATGTAAGATTAGTTTAATAAAAACAGGCACGTCTTTAGAGTTGTCAACATTAAATATAATGCATACACACAACTTTTATTCTATCTGGGTTCACTAGTCAAGTTTATTTCTACTAGATATTTAAGATCGACTATACAACTAGAAGTTCAACCTAAGATCAAAAGTGCAAGTACAAGTGCAACATCTATTATTCTATGTACATCAAGCACAGTAGTAAAGAAAAACATATATTTAAAGTTTTGGTTCTTGCTTTTGTGATACCTGCCTAACATACACATGCTGTAAAAATAGTTTCTAATAGTAAAATAACATGGTGGCTGTTTAATGGCTCATGAAATTTTCATAGTAATCTAAGAAAAATTAGGAACAAGTGAATTAAGAACCTATTACTGGGATAAAAGTTTATAAATGAAATTTTCAATGATTTATGTTTTATAATGTTTACAAAAAAAGTTTCCCAAATCTCTTTGGTAACTTATATCCTTAGGGTTTTGCTAAGTTGAATGACAGACATTCACTGAATATCTAGATCATTTCCAAATATACTGAAACATTATGTTCGTGTCTATTAATCACATGTTCTTGCCACATTAAAAAAACTATAAAAAATGCTTCTAGAAATTATAAAATGATGTTAATCTACAGAATGTTGGTATATTGATAGGTTACAATTGGATAGTCTATAGTTTTCACAAGGAATACTACTAGAAATGATAAGAGAAACAACTCTGTATAAAATATACAAGGAAAATAAGATGTATTTTTGGTAAAAAAAGCTGTGAGGTAAGAGGATGCATTTTTGTGACAGGAAAAGGAGCAATTCGATGCTAAATTCTATACTAAAGTAGAATGACATATTGTTTAAAATGAAAAAGACAAAGTTGGTAGAGAAAGAGAATGAATGCTTATCTTGGGTACCTAAGCTGGCTAAAATTGAGTAATTTATTACAGGGTTTTTAAAAATGAGCCTTAATATCAAAAGTACAATAATACAAAACTAGAACCTGTTAAAACAACAAAGCTTTCTTGGAGCACTGGGTCTGCTCTTGATAAGAGATTGTGAAAGATTTTCTTTCTCTTTTGTGTTTTACCAAAATAATTTCCTGTTGTTTTATGTAGTCTTTTATCAATAGGTCTCTCAATTTTCCTAAGTAATCAATCTTCTGCATTTGCCTTTAGAATCTTTTGTCACTTCAGATAACTATTGTTTCATAGTGACCTGTGAATCTATTTAATTGAATATTTTAAACTTTTTGACAACTTCCCAAAATCAAATTCTAAATTAAGTTCTTTTCACCTCAAACTAACTTTGGGATGTTCCAGAGGGCCCCTGGAATATCTCAAAAGAATTTGTTCTCTCTCCTTAAACATTTTTTTTTTTAACTAATTAGTTTTATTCGATATGTTAAACTGTATGGGAATCATTGTCAAAGATGTTTAATTTTATTTGTATGGATATGTTATTAAATGTTCCAGAAGTCATATAAAATTCTCAGAAATCTGGTGTCTTTGTATGATATCAGTAACAATTCCAGTTATCTTAAAATGTTATATATTATAGAAATAACCAAATTTCCATGTCAATTGTATTATAATGAACTCTTATGAGATGTTTAGTCAGAGCTATTTTTAAGTCTTTTATCTTCCAGATAGTTAATTGTTTTGCTCTGATACTTTCCTGAAAGCTTTTGCAAGCAACTGTATCATCTTCAAGGAGATTTATGGAAAGAACTCTGACAAGTACAGGTTTCTGATAAGTTTAAGATTATACCACTGGGCTGGGTAAGAATTTCCAAAACTCGAATGAAGAAACTGATTGGCTCATAAAACTGCTAACCTAACATCAAGCAGAACAAGAATTACACATGGGACCTTATGCCCTTTTTGTTTGAAATATTGCTGGTTTATTATTAAGGAAACTTTTTCTTTTAAGCTATCTATATCTTACAGCAATTTGGTAAATTATATTTTTGTAAACAGAATCGAAATATTTATCTTCTTCTGATCCTTCCAGAAACTTAATGAGTATTCTTATTTTCATAGCAATATAGTTATTGGCATAAGGTCAATATTGCATCTGTTCTCTTTGTAGCAGGACACAACTGAAAACACTGGTTATATTACCAAGGCTTTGACTAGAATGTAATACTTGAGGATGTGTACAGAATCAGATATGACCAGACAGATTTAAAAAACTAATGCTGGCTGGGCATGGTGGCTCACGCCTGTAATCCTAGCACTCTGGGAGGCCGAGGCGGGACGACTGCTCGAGGTCAGGAATTCCAGACCAGCCTGAGCAAGAGTGAGACCCCGTCTATACTCAAATAGAAAGAAAAAATTAGCCAGGCATGGTGGTGCATGTCTGTAGTCCCAGCTACTTGGGAGGCTGAGGCAGAAGGATTGCTTGAGCCCAGGAGTTTGAGGTTGCTGTGAGCTAGGCTGATGCCACAGCACTCTTGACAGGGCAACAGAGTGAGACTCTTTTTTTGAGACAAACTGTTGACTTTATGAAGCCAATAAATCTTCTTGGGGAAAAAACTGGCTTGGTACCTCCATATACTTGGTTCCCTTACATGTTAGTAAGAAATGTCACTTCCTGGCCAGCCCAAGAAACTCAGGATATTCTGTGGGCCTTTGGAAAAGAGGAATTAACATAAATCTATGGATATTGCAAGCAAAATCTGATAGCGAGTTGTTGCCTTGTCTTCCTAGTTTAGAGAGGCTTTTAAAGGTCCAAACTGAGGTTCTTATTAAAAGTTCCAGTAAAGCAGACTTACAAAAGGACCTATACAATCAATCACTATTCTTGCTGCACTTATGTAAATAAGCAACCCAATTTTAATGAGGCTAGACTTAGTTTTGCAAACAAATTGATCTTATTGTGATTATCTTTGATAAAAATGGGAGTGACTATAGAGAAAAAAAACTGTCTCAGAAGAACACTATAATACATCTTTGTGGATATCATTTCTAGCTCTGTCCATTATCTCTGAGGTTTTGTTATTTATCTGTAATCTGACATTATTCTAGTTTCTTCCAATATCTGGCCATAATTCTCCAAACTAGTATTTTCAAATTTTGTCCCACCCTTCTAGCTTGCAATCACTAAAAATTAAAACTGCCTTTTCCCCTGAAACCCTAACAAGCTGAAGCAGAATGACCTGACACAAACTTCAGAGAATAACCACAACAGCTCATGTATAGACAACCTTCGTGCTTATTGCAATATGGACCAAACTGCAAAAGATACTTTGAGCCCAATCTAGAAATCCTGAGTGCTCCAACCATTAACTTTTGTTGTTGTTTTGTTTCCATAGAAATGCCTCTTGTTAAATCACCATACAGAGCCTAACTTTAATGAGAGCCCACCTCTAACAACTCCTGAAATGAGACAACTATTTAACCAAACCAACCTATTTTCAGGACTAAGACAAGGATTCAATAAGATATGGAACAATGTACTTAAATTTGTTCTTTTCTACTTGTTGCATGTATGTTTTTCTCTCCCTTTGCCAATCTCTTATCTTGTGACCTGTAACCCAAATCTCTCCCTACAGCTCCCCACTCAGAAAGTTCTAAGGTACCACTTTGAGTTACTTTGTGTTGTATGCTACATGTGTTAACAAACTTGTTCTTCTCTTGTCATGGGGTTTAACCACTTCGGTACCAGAGTCGACTATAGTCGATAGCCACAGATGAATGTGCACAGCCCAGCGTCAACTATAGTCGACTATGATATGTCTACAGATATGATATGGCTTTTCTAATTTTTCATTTATCAAACTAAAATTGTGAATATTTAAAAATAACATAATGAAAACATACATGTACATGTTACCTACTCTGATTTACATTACAAGTAAAGCTGCCTGTAAAGTAAAATAAGCTTTCAGTGCTTTAAAGCTTTCCTCATCACGCAAGAGCAAAATGGATTCGTTGTCAATGCACAGCACAAACTATCGTGCGGACTATGAGTGCCGCTGTGGGCAAGGCTTCACGGCTGGTGAGCGCGGTCTTGAAGTGGTTAACCCAACTGAAAACTCTTAAGGCCATTTCTGTGTTAAGTACTGTCAGGGAAGAAAACTATTTTCCTCAAGCCTTAACTATTCAATATTATTTCCAAAAAAACTCCGACAAACAAAAATGCAAACATCTCCCATCCTATTATCCCCACTGCCAACAAAATCTCAACAGCAAATAAAACATACAAATAACTTAATGTTTGAACGTCATCTGGTGAAAGCAGACTTTACATAAGCAAGTTACTAATATTTTCATGATGTGATACTTTCAAGTTATGTATATTTAAGTTAAATTTATACAGACATATGAATATGATTGAAATGCCTAAGAAAAGCTTATTTTACCACAATATTTTGGTTATTTCTTACCTGTTTCTGTAGGATTTCTTCTCGAACTTCAGAAAGTTCAAGAGACGCTTGTTTACGTTGCAGCTCATTAACTTGACTTTGGAAATGTTTTATAAGTACCTGAGAAATTGTCAGAAGTACTGAGTTAGTAAAGCTCCTCCTTGAACACTATTTGGAAAATATAAGGAAGCCAACTCAAGACTGCAAAATTCCTTTTAAGATAAACCTTTATAAAGTCTGGGCATTTGGGAAAAAGACAATATTATCTTTATACTTTGATTAGTACAATAAGTTTTTATTAAACTATTGACTAAATAAATATAACACAAGCCTCATAACGTCTGAAATGTCGGTCTCATATTTTTAGACAAAGAAATTGAAATACATGAGCAGATACTTCCATCAAACTAAACGAACTTGGGGAAAATTCATCTCTAATGCTGTTACATCTACTGTTTTAAAGATCAGACTATACTGACTTCCAACTAACTCAATTTTATAATATTACATTTATAACTCTGGGAAAATAAGATTTACCCACCTCTCCTAGATTATTCCTTATTACAAAATCACTTGATACAATGCTTACAACTGCCCTCTGACACCCTATCCCTATGAGGGAAAAGGCTGAACAGATTATCTGTAAAGCTGTATGAGTTGTTATTTTTGAAAAGCACTTTGAATATTTTTCATTAAAGTAGTAACATTTTTCTGAGCGATTTGAAATTGTTACAGTTCATTATATTTTACCCTTTAAATATGTCAATATGCATTATCTTTATAAGGGCATTTCTCACAAAACCACAATACCATTTTACACGTAAGAATCATAATTTCTTAGTATCTAATAGTGCATATTCAAACTTCCTCAACTGAGAGACTTAAGAAAAATTTAGTATGGATACATAATAGTTTCATATATTTATGGGGTATATGTGACATTTTGATACAGGCATACAACGCATAATGAAATCAGGGTAAATGGGGTATCACCTCAAGCACTGAAGGATTTGTTTTTAATTAAGATGGTATTAAATAATTATCAGTAGGAGAGATGGTGGTGAGATAATTACTTGAAGTAATCATCAGATTTGAAAATAAGTTGCAGGTAAAAAGTTCTATTTTAATGCTGTCTTTTCAAACTACTAACACCACAGAAGACAGGCCACATAGTAGAGGTCCAGATATTCCAAGGAGGATATACCTATTATTCAAGAAGGAAGACACATTTATTTGAGGAAATGCTGATGAGATGTCAGCATTCTCCATAATTCTTAGAAGACTATGCTTCATAAGGGCTAGAGCTATGTATCTTGGCTCATTATTTTATTCAGGGTCCCTGTCTGTAGACCTGAATCATTATTTTTTCAATGAATGAAAGGTAATGGGCAGGAAGAATGGGGATAATTGCTTGTCAGTTGGGACTTGGGGTAAATTAAAGGAGATGAGTACAAAGCTCTTAATCACATTAAACATACTTCAATCATCTGTTATAATGTATAGAGGAAGATTTGAGAAGGATAGGGAACAACTGTAAAATGCTTATTTACATGGTATAGTTTTAAAGTGGAAAAGTTAAATATATGGTAATGTTATCTTCTATTAAAAACATAAAAGCAAGCCAATAATTTCCCACTTCTATCACCAACCTGAAAAAGTTAAAAAATATTTCCAAATTAACATTCAGTTAAAAGTCCTGAAAAAAAAAAAATTCATTAAAATCAAAGATCAAAACAGATTTGTTATCTACCTCTTGAGTTGCTATTTTACGATTCAGTTCAGCTATTTTGGAAGAAGAATTTTCTACTGCATTTTGGCAAAGGAGTTTCTCTACTTCTCTCTGATGAAATGCTTTGAGGGATGCAATGTGTGCTGCAGTATCTTCCTTGACCCTACAGAGCAAATGAAAGAAAATCACATTTAAAAGTGGCTCTTCAACCTCTAAGAGCACAAAAACAGTATAAGAAGCCTGGACATTAAAGATGCAAACAGAGGACATTGATATTAAACTGCATTATGTTACGTGCTTTATACATTATTGCCTATGAGTTCTCACAACCAATCCATGAGCTATATTTATTGAATCTTATATGGGCAAACCTGAGTTGACAAAAGAATGATATTAATACATCCAGGGTCCCACATCAGTAAGTTGTAAAGCTGGGGTTCAAGCCCAGCAGAGATGGACTTCAAGGTCCAGGCCTTCCACTCTATCTCCAGCCTATGGCTATACTTTCTGAGGGAATCTAAGGTTCCAGCATATCTCTTTGAATTTAAGGCATAGTGCTTGACATTTTATCTTTTAAGATAAACTCAGACATTTTGCCCAGATTCTTATTTGGGTAATCACAGCTGCTCCTTTTAGAACCATTAATGCTTCATGCCTAGGCAGCATTCACCTCTATTTTGATCCATGCATATTATTCCAGCGCTAGTTGCATGTTGTGAGAATAAAATGATTTTTACAGTAATTCTCAGGACATAAGGGTAATCTGCAACTAATTAATTTGGATTCTAAGTATGAAAGACTATTCATTTGTCTCTGGGATAAAATTTATGTATTCAGCAGGCAGTTTAGTAAATGATAAAATTATGAATAAAGATTTGATACATTTTAGATAGATATTTCTCTCTTATTGGAAGGACTATTCAAAAATGACAGGATTTCATTCAAAGAAGATATTTTCATAAATCACTTTTGATACATATTAATATGGCAGATCCCAAACAATACACAAATTTGTCAGTTGCTTATTTCACTATATAAATTTTCTCCATGGAAACAGTGTGATTAGGGTCCTAGGAAAAGCATAAAAACCAAAAGCACCCATATCTGAATTATAGTAAAAAAACAGCCTAAATCTGGAACTAGGAAAGTTTACTTCTCAAGCCTAGAGCTATCTAAGAAACAGATTGACAGTACTAGAAAATTTAAAATTATATATATAATTATAGGACAAACTTGAATTTTAAATTATTTCTAGGAAAAAAATGTGATCCTCCCCAAATAGCTTCATACTACTGATATATTCACTACTAAAGAAACAAAGTTTCAATATGGAAGCAATATGGTTGCCATGATGATTCAATCACTGCCATGGCTGCCAATTAATCAATAAACATTGTTGGGTGCTTCCCATGCTCGTTCTGCTCTCATATCAGATTGTGGTGAGGATACAAAAGCAGCACAATCTTATATCAATTCTCAAGGACCTATAAGGCTGTTTATGATTTGCTTGCTTGGTACATATTATAGTATAAATTCTGTAGGAGTTGGGGATAGGAGCAGGCACTTTCCTAGGAAGCTTCAAGAAACGCTTTGTGGAGGAAGTAGGACTTAAAACACGAATGAGCAAAAGGTATGAAGAAATTTGGCAGATTAGGTATGTAGACTAGTATTAGAATAGGGATGGGACTTGAGATGCCAGGCAGAGAAATTCAGTCTTGATATTTAAGGAAGTTGGGAATGACTGGAAGGCAGAATGACTCAGATATAGCATTTAAAGAATATTAATGGTTTTTACGCAAGATGACTGGGGGCAGTAGAAACAAAGGAAAGATTGGAGTGGGAAAACTACAGTATACCAGGTAGGCTGCAATGACTTATTATAGTAAGGAAAAAAGCAAAATGAGAAATATTTATAAGGAAGCAGCCTATAGGCTGTGAACCCAAGGAATAAAGGAGGTAAAGCTGGGCCTGGCAATTAAAACACATGAGGTCATAGATAGGGCTGGGGAACTTGGGAAGGAAATAAGTTTATGGGTAAAAAAGAGAGAGAACTAGAGGTATTGTTGATTCCAAGAGAGGCAATCCAATAAATAGTTGTAGGTTTAACATCTGAACTCTGGGAAGAGAACAAGCCTTTAAAAGTGAACCTAGGAGTCACGGTTCGTAGAAGTGATAAGAATGGATGAGTTTAGCAATGGGGAAAGAATAGAGAATAAACAGGAAGCCAAGAAACAAACACTGGTAGAAAGCCAGATTTTTGGTGAGTGAGAAGGAAGAGAAATAAGAAGTCAGCAAAAGAAACAAAAGGAGTTTTGGTCAGAGCTGCCGTGTTAAGGGAGGAAACCATTTCAGGAAAGGCAGTGTGGTCAACATGAAAATGCCACGAGACTGGCAAAAGTCCTTATTAAGAGACCAGGTTTCAAAGTGGCGATGGTGAAAGTCATATTTAAAGGAAGTGAGATGGAAATAAAAGAAGAGGCTTCTTGTGAAAAACTGGCACTGTAAGACAGAAAGAAGACTGGAACTTGGTTTGAGCAGGTGAGAAAAAGATCTGAGGATGTTAAGACTCAGAGGAAAGAGACAGTAGATAGTAGTAACAGTTGGAGATTCTGAGGAGGAAAGGGATGAGTATAAAAGTTCCGCAAGGCATGAATGGATGTGATCACAAGGTCAGTTTAAAGTGTTATTTTTGAAAGAGGACCTTTTCCTATTGGAATAGTTTTAATAATAGTTTTCTAACAGCAATCTGCCTACAGCAATTAGAAATGATGACATTCATTTGCAAGAAGGGCCCAATGAATCAGCTTATTGGAACCACGTGGGTACATGCAGAAAGACAAGACTGGTGAACTTGAGGACCTGGTTTGGTTTGACTTAGAGGTTTAGATTCATCCGAATTTGGGCCTCTTGCAAATAAAGGACCCTACTCTGAAACAGATCTATGCTCAGCAATGTGGCATAAATTCTTAAAATTCACTTATGAATTCAGTTCAGGGTCAAACTAATTATCTGGAGGAAATACATCTTACAATTTTTCAATTTTTATCTTTTTATTTCCTCATATATTTATAAATAATATAACATTTTACCTTTTCATGGAGTTTTCGAATTGGTTCACTGCTGCTTCAGATTTCATCTTCAACTCATCCTTCTCCAAAATTAATCCCTCTAGCTCATTTTTCAATCTGTAGTTTTCTTGTAAAACCTCTGAAATGTGAGAATCAGTAAAAGTATGTGGTTGATAAAGCTTGCTGTCCGGGGTCGCAGGGTATGAGTTAGCATTTACTTTACTTGGGTGCAAAACATCTTTCTTTGCCTTTTTGGCAGACACATCCTCTCTGCCCTTAGAGTTCTGATTAGACAGCATCATTCTTCTTTCCTTCTGAAGCCTTTCCACAGTTTTTGAAAGGTCTTGTATTTCTCTCTTTTTTGCAGCCAGTTCTTCATTGAGTCTCACCAGTTTAGCTTTAGCATGTGCCTGTTCCACCTGGAATTCTATAGAATGAAAATCTTTGTCATCTTTATTATTTTTCTTGAGTTCTAATTCAGTATTCTGACGTTTAAGAATGTCTATTTCAGCTTCAAGGTTTCTTACAGTGATCTGGTGGACTTCCTTAATGGCGCTGAGTTCCTTCTCTAATGTTTTAACCTTGGAGGAGCTGTCATGTTGGTTTTGGGGTGCTTCCTTCAATTTGTAGGCAAGTAGCTTCTCCTGTTCCTCTAGTCTCTGTTCATACTGAATCTGAAAAGAAAAGAATCCATGTAATGCTAACCTCCTGGTAAACATTTCATAAGTTGATGAAGCCATGTATTCTTTGGCGTCCTACCTAGTCCTTCATTCAGGCACTCATACACTCTGATGTTTCCAACCTTCTGTGTTCCTTGAGTGAGTCAAATGTATTAGAGTCCTACTCTTTGACTCTCTGAAGGGCATAACATTATATATTCTTGATATATGTTATCTGATTTCATAATTGATATATTGCTTCATAAATATTAACTTATACATGTTCTTATAAATCCCATATTTATTTAAACCTCATAAGCCAAACTTCTTATTATGCACCCTTTTCTATGCAAACTGTCAAACATACTCTTTGAGGATAAACAGGCAAAACAACCAAAACTACTGAGGGTCTTTGAGAAACAGCCCGTTCTCAACCTTCTAAGACCAATTTATTAATCTCACAGAGTAAAACAGCTTGGAATTTGTCTACTGGGGCTTTACTATATCATTTAGTATTTAGTAAATGAATAAATCATTTCCCCTATGAAGGGAAGCACCAGTAGCATTTGCTTGTTCATTCAATGGATATTTATTGAGCTCTATAGCTTCCCTGGTCACTATGTTAGGTTCTAGAGATAGAGACCCAGTTCTTGCTTTTAAATAGCTCACAGCCTGGTGAGGAGAGCAACAGGGCAATAGTTACAATGTCCTATGATAACAATGATAATGGGCCTGTGAACATGGCATGGGGGGTTGCAGAGAAGGTGAAGCAGCCCTGAAGGTCTGGGGGGGCCTTGAGGGAAGACTGCACAGAGATAGCAAGCACATCTAAGTTTGGTCTTGAGGTATGAGTGTAAATTTGGGAATAAGTGGAGGTAGGAGCATTTTGGAAGTAGGCGGAGTATATGCAAAGACGACTGAATGCTTGGTGTGTACTGGGAATCAGAAATGAAAGGAGGAAGTGGCAGGTAGTGAGCAGGGGCAGGGGACTACAAAAAGGAACAAAGTGGAGTGGGTAGATTTAGATACATAAAAATGGGATGGGGGTTGGAGTTCATGCCTCTATTTGGTCAGTGGAATACTAACAATAATTATAAGCATATATTGAGTGTTTGCTATACTCCAGGCACAGTACTAGGGCTTTATATGTACTTCGACACTCAATCCTTCCAATATCCTATGAATTAGGGATTATTTATTGAGTGTCTACTTTGTGCTAGGCACCTTGCTGATTGATGGAATACAATGGTGAGTCAATGGTGAGTCAATGGTGAGTAAAAGCAGAACAATCCAGCCATCACGGAGTCCTGGTCTAGATGGGGAGAGAGAGAAAGAGAGACACCACTGACGATCCAATCAATATGGCTGCAGCTGTGGTGAATTCCATGAAGGAGAGGTATATGGGGGGGGGTGCTGAGAGAGCCCAAAGAGGTCATTCATCTACCAGGGACTACCAGAAAGTTCTCACTGGGCAAGCAATGCTTGGGCTACTCTTTGCACTTACTTTCATTTTCTGAAACTCTTGTTCCATGGTACGAAGACTTTTCTTTGCTTCTTCATCTTTGCCCTCCAGATCAGCTTCCAGCTTTTTTATCCTTTTTTCCATAAATTCCACTGTATTTCTATCCACTGTATCACCCGCTGCTGATGCGGCCAATATTAAAGCAGGTAATGAATTGGGATATCTTCTCTTTAGAATTCCTTCCATTTCTTTAACCTAGTAAAATATTTTTGAATGTATGTAAGGTCACAAACATACCTAAAATCAGCTTAATGTATAAACTTAGATTATGCTACATTAGTCATGTCTAGATTTCGGAAATGTTTATAGCATGTCCCCAGACTGAATCGAATGCATAGAAGCACAAATAAATTTCAAATTTTACACCCCTAGATTACCTGATTAAAAAACCTTACAGTATAATGTCTGATAAACTCCTGGTTAATTTACAGAAATCCTCTTAAATTCACTTGAAATATATCTTTGGACTATCTATCAGATGTACATGAATGTACAAATTTTTTGCAATAAATATACAGCAGCTTCCTAAGCACCTGTCTTTGCCTGCAACAATTTCCACCTCTACCAAACCCTCCACAAAAGAACTCCTTGAAATGAAGTTTAATCTACTTTAAAATGACTTCTTTCAATTGGGAAGCAGGGAGGATTAGATGGCACTTAATGAAATCTTTGTAAAAGATTAAATACTTCTCATTTGGTCTATAAAAATGACATATAATCTTTCTGCAAGACAGAAATGCACCAGGGTCCACATAAATTACAGCATTATATTATATACACCTATGTGTGTATACTTGCTTTTTAAAAAATATTATGGTCTTTCAAGGCTGACGTTGAGGCTAAAAAGAAAAAAAAATATTATGGTGAAGATACCTTTGAAAAACATATATACAAACACTAAATTCTTTGTTAAACAGTTTTGTAGCCTATGGGCATGCAAAAAAATAGCACCTGAGAGGCAGGCTAATGCAGTGGTTAAGAGCATGTTATGTTCGACTATGCCTCCAGCTTTAGGACCTTGTGTTCTCAATTTATATCTCTTTGCCCATGGGTAAGATGGAGATGATAATGGTATCAACTTCAAAAGGTTGATATAATTAAGTGAGGGTGAAATGACTTTGATCTTGGTAAGTACTCAGCGAGTGCCCAAGATAGAATGAGGACTTGATACGTGTTGGCTTTTATTATAATTTTATCTTAAAAGCTGTATTCCCTAAGGCAAAATAGGTTGCTGGTGCTCAAAATCCTATTAATAGACTGAACATTATTCATGTTAGGTATGTAAGAGTCACATCATTTGCTAAGTTAACAGTAAATATTAATATTTCATTTGTGTAAACTGGACATTCAGTGATGTAACCATAAATTGGGAAATATCCAGATATAAATATTAATTTTTTTTTACTTGGAAAATTTTTAAAGCTTATTTTCCTCTGGTATTAAAAATCTAGTTATATGAGTTAGTTGTAAGTATATGAAAGCATATGCACATTTTACAACACCACATATATTAAAAAGAACTAGATTTAAAAAAATTTATTTTAACATATTTTTAATTAATGCATTAATTTAAAATTTAAGAAGTATTTTCAATATAATTTTGATATTCTGAAATATATATTACATTTTTAGGAAAAGAAATAGATTTTATTTCTATCTTCTTTAACTTCCCCTTTTAATATTATCCTTTGGTCAATGATACCAGTGTGACTGGTATAGAAAGTACATTTTTTAATTCTAATTGAAAATTAAACTATGAAATATTCCATTAAATAAAAAAAAGCATGAACAAATCCACAGTCTGAAATTTTCATTATACTATTCATCTAATTAGCCCCATTTTTACTTATGTTCTATTTAGAAAGAGATATTTTATTTATAATTAATATATTTCAGAACATGGCTACAAAATGATTCTGAATATATTGTAACATACCTTGATTATAAAATATATAATAAGGTTTAAAACTATTAGGATAGAAATGCTCATAGAAACAGGATAAGATCTAAAATGTACATGTAGCAATACAACTATACAAAATACTATTATATGATGAATACTATATTAGAAAGATATAATCTAAGATGATAAACCAATAAATGTTTAATAAAAGTGTCAATAAAAGAGGGAAGTTTACTTTCACAAAATGGTGTATTTCTGGTCAATATGGACTACCATTTGAAGTTTTAATTTTGCCCTTAATAAAGCATACTTTTTACTTTCAGATGTTCAGTTTTACATGATTTCTCTTAAAGTTATCTAATGGAAAAGTGGTTCCTTTGGTTTATCTTTCTCTGACAATGCTGGATGCCTTCTTAGATCGGCTAATCTTAATCTTAAACACTGAAGAAAAGCTAAGCAATTCTAGACTACACTCACTTTAGAATATTTCTGGCTTTTCAAACCACCTTTATCCTGTTCCTTTCTTGGCCCATGAAGCAAACTACTAAGTTATACCTTTTAATATAAAAACAACCCTTGTAAAAGTAACAAAGTTATTTTTTGGCTTAGTTTTCCTTCTTCTCATAAAACTGGGATAATATTCATCCCAGTGATGACCTCACAGTTTTGGATTTGTGATGAAATAATAGTCATATGTTTAAGTATCATAACTTGACTACAGAATCATGCTCTCTTATGAAATGGAAATTATTTTGTTTTAGTATGTAATTATGAATACAAATGCTACAATACAGAAAGTTTTAAAAACAGAAGGAAAAATTAATTACAATTCCACTTCCCAAAACAACTATTTCAATGAAAACATCTTTATTCTAATAAGCTTCACTTTATCATTTTAGTAAAAGTCTCCCAGCCACACTGACCACAAAATGAATATTTTTAAATATTCAAGTATGCAAGAGCCCAAGGTGATGGCCAGCTCTTTGGGAGACTGAACGTTCGGTTTATGAGGTGCTTTGTAACATTTCCCAAGCGTTATCGACATGTTCCCAATTCAAGGATCTCCCTTCTTATACTTCTCTCTCACCCATCTTTGGCCAGTAGGAGGAATCCCAACTTTATACCCAGAGTTTCAAAATTTTACTTTTTTCTTCCTAGATGTCTAATAGAGCTAGGGTACAAAATAACCTTTCATTAGTAGGTCTACCATCTTATAAATGAGGCAAATTAATCTAAAAATTATTTATGAACCTGTAGATTACATAAGATGTTTTTTACTTTTTATTAACATTCCTTTAAAACAAGATTGACTATATCTTGTGTGAACTCTGAAAATGAAAATGTGCTGTATATAAAATACCTTAATGAAAATTTACTCTTAACACATACTTGTCGCTCCAGGTCTTGAATTTTTTTGGCATCAACTGCTTTATCTTTTAAGCGTATCTTCTGCTGAATAGATGGATTCCCAGATTCAGCTTTTAGTTTCTCTATCTATCAATAAACAAATAACATGTTAAGAAGCACATTTAAAACATAAAGCAAATTTCACATTTTCTCACTCATATATGGGAGCCAAAAATTCAAAAAATTGATCTCATGGAGATAGACACAATAGTTAACAGGCTGGGAAGGGTAGTGGGGAGGTGGAGGATAAAGTGGGATGGTTAGTGGGTGCAAAAATATAGGCAGATAAAATGAACAAGATCTAATATGTGATAGCACAACAGGGTGACTATAGTCAACAATAAGTGACTATATATTTAAAAACAGCTAAAAGAATGGAACTGGAATGTTCCTAACACAAAGAAACGATAAATGCTTGAGGTAACAAATAAATGAATACCCCAATTACCCTGATTTGAGTATTACACATTATATCAAAACATCACATATATCCCCATAAATACATGTAATTATTATGCACACATAATAAAAAATAATAGAAAAGCATGAAGAGGGAGCATATGGTAGTTCATTCATTTCTTTATTAATCCCTCAGCAAACACTGACCAAGCTCCTCCAAAGTTCCAGGCACTTCCCAGTCCTGGCTCAAGGCTGGAGATATGGAGGACAGACAAGACAAACTAGGTCCCTGCTCCCAGGGTGCTTATGCTCTAGTGGAGGGAGAACATTGATAAGCTAATAAATAAAGTAAATCAATAAGTAAATAACTTCAGAAGGTGACAAGTGCTAGGAAGAAAATAAAACAGAAGGAAGGAATAGGAACAAAGAGCCAGAAGGGGCAGGATTGGCAGCTACATTACATAAGGGAGTCATGGAAGGTCTTTCTGAGAAGTAGACATTTGAGCTGAGACTCCGGAAGGAGACATGGGAAGAACCAAGGTCAGAGTATTCCAGGCCAAAGGAACAAGTGGACTGAGCTTAGGATGTTCAAGAATCAGAGGAGCTCTGGTGTGGCTGGAGGAGGAGACTCAGAGGGTATTGGATGAGGCTAAAGCAGCAGGCAGGGTGAAGATCCCATGGGGGTCTAACAGGTCATAAGGAGCTTGCATTTATTCTCAGTCTAATCTCAAATGGACTGTATATCTAAATGCATACCAAAACCAAACTAAGTTATTTTAATTAATAGAGTTTAGAGGAATGATGCAATGACATAAGGTTATATAGAATTGTTATTGAAGTTCATCTATAGAAATACATTCTGAAATGATCTATTACTTCAAGTTTGAGCTTCTCAATTTCTTCATTTGCTTCTTTAAGCCGAACTGCATCTTTATCCAGAAGTTCCTGATTTTCAGCATACCACCGTAATCTTTTTTGTAGACGACAGATTTCTTGTTTATGTGTTTCTTCTAAAATTTTTATTTCATATAATTTTTCACCTATAAGAAAATTTAATTTGTAATTTTTCAAAATATGGAAATAAACCAAATTACAAGATTTTAAATGAAAATCAATATCTAATGAAAGCATTATGAAAAAATAAGTGGCATAAAACAAATGATACATAGAACATAGCATCTAGTTTTATCAATTAGTCAAAAGAAATGAGACTGTGTTCACAACCCAAATCCTCAACCTTGTAGCAAAGCTGGCCACATAGAAAACTTTTGATAAATCAATTGTTTTTCCACTGACTTTCATTATAAACATTGTTTCCATGGGAAAATGTTGAATTCAAGAGATGATAAAAATGAAGAATGGCTATAATTATATTAAAAAGTAACAATGGCAAACATTCATGAATATTTATCTCCATGTATTATTTTATTTACCACGACAAACTTTTATGATGGGTACTGTTATTATTCTATTTTACAGATGAGGAAAGCAAATGTCATCTTTTTTACAAGTAGGCAAGAATGAATTTCTCTGCATATATCTTACACTGAAGCTCATAATACTTAGAGGAAAGATACTTACTTTGGCACACAAGGGCTCCTCTCATTACCTTTCTAGCCTTGTGTTTTGCCATCTGAAGTCATGGGACACTTGGAGTGGCCTCTTTCCATTCCTTCACTTTCAAATCTTACTATCTGGGAAGGCCCAACTCACATGCCACCCTTCCCTGAAACCTTATTTAGCACCTTATCTCCTCCTCTCCTATTTGTTTGTAATTTGTTTCTTAAGTTTTCTGCATTCTTATCTTACTTCCCCCACCTTTGTTTCTCCTGGTGGGGACCATGCCATATTTATCTTTGTATTCTCTGTAAATCACAGTGCAGTGGTATTTGTTCATTTGACAAATACTTAAGAATCAACAGTGTTTCAGACCCAGGGATAAAAAGATAGGTTTTGCCCTCAGGAAGGTTATAGTCTAGCTGGGGTGACAGTCATGTGAACAATTAAACATCAAATGCAATGAATCAAAATAATTCTTGATGTTCTTTAACCTTGCAATTATTCCTGTTAAAACCAATCAAATATACATACCTTTTAATAATTAATTGAAAATATTTCTAAGGTCACAATGTACTTCAAGGAATAGCATTTTGACTATACTGTTCAATTACTTAAATTGAATATTAGACCAATCATGAGTATAAAGTTAAACTGTCTCTGTGTTTTACCTGTGGCATAAGCAATCTGATCTTTGGCTTGGTCCCTCTCTTTCTTCATTTTTTCCAAGTCTACTTCAAGAGCTTGTTTGTCTTGTTTCAGTCTTTTGATTTCTTCCAATAAACTGTTTTTCTCTTTCTTGAAATTCAAAGAAATGCAAAAGCAAGTTATTTCCAACTACAATAAATTGTGGTATAGTCTCTCTTTTACCCAATCTATCAAAAAATACTGCTGTGAAATAGTTTTCCTAAATTTTAGCTCTGATATTATTTATTACCACCAGCCTTACCCCAGAATCATTAATGGCTCCCCATAGCCTGTTAGAATCAGTTCTAATAATCTCAGCACAGCATTAAGGACCTTCCAATCCATTGTTCTAAATTCTTCTATATAGTAACCATATTGATGATTCACTAATTCTTCTACAGTAATTTAGCTGCAATACCTCCTCTAACTAGTTTCTTCTACTCTTAGCCCTTATAGTCTATTCTCCTCACAACAGAGGAATTGTTGTAGAGAGTCAGTTAATATTACTCCTCCTTCTGAAACTCTGTTGGCTTCTCTCAGGGTTAACCCAAAGTCCTTACCATGACCTTCAGTGTCATATAACCCAGCCTTGCCCATGACTGACCACATCTACTATAAATCTTACCCCTCCATTCCATTTTAGCCAGAGATCTCTCTGCTGTTCATTGAATTCCCCTAGCATACTACTGTATCAAGTGGTTTGTCCTGTCTCCTTCGCCTTCAGTGCTCAGCCCCCAGGTAGCCAGGTATTCACTCCTTCCCTTCATCAGGGTTTTTGCTCAAATGAAACCCAGGAAGGCCTTCCTAACCACCCTAATTAAAACAGCAAGCCCCATCCTGATCCCCAGGCACATTGTTTCATTTTCTTCTCACAGCACTCATCACCACCTAATATATTACCTATTTATTTGAAAGCAGGATTCAATTCACTAACCCTTGTATCATAAATACATAAAAAATCCTTGGGACATCCAAAAACAAAAAAAAAATAAAGGATTTCTCAATATGCCCTACATTCCACACTATTCTCAATAGCTTGAAACACTGTGCCCTATTCTTCTGCTTGACAAAACTCATCCTTCAAAGCTCAGTTCAAATTAAGCTAAGCTATTCCTGTTAATTCCCTCTTCTGTGCTCCCAGACTTCAGTTATACCTCTAGTGTATAGCATTTATTACTTTCTGTTTCATATGATACTAATTTGTGTACATTTCTCTTCTCTTTATTAGGTTGAAAGCTCTATGGGGACCAAGACTGATTATTACTTTCTGTTTACTTTGTGGCATTAAGCACATAGCATGTACTCAATAAATGTACACTGAACTGAACTCAGAACTGCTGAAGAAACCATTGGACTCATGGCAGTACATTTGGTATAGTTAAGTTTCAAAATGACAAATTCTGTATTATACTACTTTACAATTTAAAATTCAGTCTTACAAAGAAAACAAGTGCATTCATAAAGCATTGTCTAATCTTGGTTTCTAGCTGGATCACAGATTTAACTGCATCATTTCGTTATTTAATCTGTGTGATCTTCTGTAGATGTCTTTTTCAGGACAGTACTGACTTTCTAGTTTTTGAATGCTCAGGTATCTTTTTGCAAGTACCTTTTGTTTAATTAATGCAATCCATTTAGAAATGCTCTCTCCAGCAGTGCCTACTTTAAGAAAGTACAGAATTTTCATATTCAAAGGAACTTTCAACATCTTGAGTTCAATCATGCAATCAATGCTTAAATGGATGTCCACTATAGGCTTGGCTTGCATATGTCCAGGGATCGAGACTGTCCACCTTCAAGAAAGCTAGTATGCCCCGTGTCAATCCTGTGGACCACAGGGGTTTTGGCTGGCAAGTACTTTCCCTCCCTTGTAAGTCACTGTGCAGACATTCAGATAGGTCTCTGCCTGCCTCTTTGACCTTATCTTCCACCACGCTTCTCTTGATCCACTTCTGCCTCAGAGGCCTCTGCTCTGGGAAGGTAACAAACACATTCCTGATTCAGGACTTCTACATTTGCTCTGCCCCCTGGCTGGAAGACTTGATCTTTGCACAGTTGGCTGCTACTTTTCTTCAGCTCTTATCTCAAACATCTCTTTCTCAGAAAGAGCTTCTTTGATCCATCTGTTACATGCTCCACCTTAAATCTCCACCTTGCCTCCCATTATTTTCAATTTTTATTTTCTTCAAAGCACTTCTATCTGTAAATATGTATTTGTTTACCTATTGTCTGTTTTCCCCACTTGAATATAATGTTCCCAACAAGTGAGATCTGTATCTGTCTTACTTACCTACTGTATTTCCAGTTCTGAGGTGAGTGCCAGGCACATGGCAGGTGCTTAATAAAGGCTGACTGAAAGAATGAACTGTATGTAGTCAGCCCATTCTCCTCCCAACTCTGGAATACTAAAAGAACTGGGCTCAGGACCTTAGTTTCTATTATGTTTCCATCCATACTTTATAAAGAACCAATTTTAAGACTATACTAATTGCTACTAATTTTTAAGGTTTATTAGGCTGTACACAAATATACTTGATATGATTATTTTATAGATTTTTCCCAGTATGAATAATTTTCCATCTAAAACTATTTAAATTCAGAATATCAAAGTAAATGACCAGAAAGGTATATTTATTCTATCTTTCAGTATGTGTACAAAAAAACCTCCAAATAATTTTTACTATTATTTTAAATTAACACTTGTTCTTTTTTCTGATTTCTTTCAGGTTTTCCCTGCCTTTGGTAGCTTCACTGTGATGGGCCTAGATGTGGATTTTTACTTATTTAAGGTGAGAGGACTTACTGTGCTTCCTTAATACGAGAATTCACCTCTTTTATCACCTCTAGAAAATTCTCAGCCATTATCTATTGAAATATTTAATAAATACTAGGATATGTATTTCTTAATATTTCTGATAGTTTCCATTTCTTTATTTTCCTGTGTTTCACTCTAAGTTTCTAAGATCTTTCAGTTTACTGAAACATTTTTAGTTGTTTAAGATCATCTATTTAATTTTTCTACTTAGTTTTTAAGTTCCAGAATTATATTTCATTTCCAGAGCTCTGTTTACTGTTCTCTTGAATTTGCCTGATTTGTTTTGTTTTCTCACATTTTCTCATTTATTTTGTATATTTAACCATTTTAAGTGTCTTTACTTTATAGTCTCTATTCAGTAATCCTGTTGAGGTTCTAATCCTGCTGTAAATTATCTCATGTCTGCTGCTGATGGATTGTTTCTCTGGTCTTGTAATTTGTACTGTGAGCATGTTATCACCAGGATTTTATCTGTGGAAATACTGTGTGAGGTGGGTTAAGGCTGCATACCTCTAAGAATTGGGGAACATGTGGCCTTCTGGATCCTTGAAAGTGACCTTTTGACTGAATCCAAATTTTACAAAAGGATTTTATTAAAAGGATTTGTTTGGGAAATTTGGATTTGGTCAAGAGGCTGCACTTGGATCTGGAGGGCCACATGTGGCCCCACGGTCACAGGTTCCCCACCCCAGCCAGGACCACTGTTTATGTTATTTATTTATTTATTTTTAGTTTGAGCATTGTAGGTACTATCAATCCAAACACTAAAACACAAATGAAGGCATAAGAGGTGACATTTACATTGAACTGGTAAAGCATGTGCACTGAACAGAAGACACTTTTTTCCCTTCCCCACCCAGAGACTAAGTTAAGACAGAAAAGCCATCTTGACATCTTCATCCTCTCTTATGAAGGTGGACGGAGTTTTCACTGATCTACTATTTTACTGAAAGACGCAGTCCTTTGAAGGTGCCCTGTCTACACTTTGCTGTTACGCTGTTAAAGCTAGGCCTTGTGCTTACTAAACTGGTGGACTGAGTGGAAGACACTTATTACTGTTTTTATCCTTTCTTATTTTTGGCTCCTAAAGATTTTCCTTATTTTCTCAAGAGCTCAGTTATCCATTTACAAGATATTTAGTATATTTTATCCAGTTTTTTTGTGTGTTTTAATGGAAGTTTTCAAATTTTTGATTTGTCATAAAAGTATGTTCAAAATAGAACTTTCAAAAAGTCACTTACAACCTGTGAATAGAACTAATACTATACTTGAAAGCTTACCATGTTCTCCCAAAGCTTCATAAAATATGGAAAATTGGTTTTAACTTGCTAATTTTTGAGGTCCATTGATAAAGGAGGATACAATCATTCATTTATTCTTTCATTCGTTCTACCTATCTGCCAACCTATGTGCCCAATCATTCTATATATACATACATAATACTTGCATACAAAGAAAGTTCCCTCATGAATTCCTATGTAAAGCTGCATTTTATATACAAAAACATGTTAAACATTAACTATTAAACTATAGTATGTTAGGATTTCCATGTAACCTAACTTTGTACAGTAAATTTCTTATTAAAGGTAGTATGTAATTGGAATTTTTCTAATCTACATAATCATTCAAACAGATCAGAAGGGCTTTTTAGTTTACTGCTATGGCTCTTGATAGGAGGGGGTGAGGAGAAGTAACAGTCCTCCACAGGGGATGTGTGGAAATGTGGCAGAGTCATTTTGATGTTTACAATAAATGGTGTGTGGTAGGAGTACATAGTTCCTGGGGACAGATATAATAACCCAATGCATGGGTTATTTCTGCTAAAACTTCTCCCATTGATAATTACCGCTTTAGAAAATTCCAGGTCATATTCTTTATAATATAATTTAATAAAAATAAAGAAAAAACTATGAAACAGCATTGTATTTCACCCTTGTGTTATGATCTGGGATACAAATATTTACAAGATGTACAGTCTCTCTGCTCTTTAGAAGTGCAGTCAGAAGACAGCTAAAAAACCAACTAACTTTTTAAGGTGAACAATTACCTCTAAATTATCCTATTATAGGTGTATGCTTTCCAATTAGGAATTTGTTTGACATAATAAGGTATACATATCCTAAATAGTTATGCCTCTGACAAAGCTCCACGTGATCAATGCCTGATGAGAGGTTGAATTATAAAGAGGATGCCATCTAAAACCAGTATTATATTTTTTCCTCTACATTAAGGTCACACATACAATAAATGCTAATCTTAGATATTTCTTCTTAATTGTTAAATGGTATGAAATTTATAAACATCTTATTCATATACAGTATTATGAAAACTTTTTTTTACACATATGGGGATTTTTGTAATAATCTTTACCATCCCTAACAGGTAAAATCCTTATGCAACTTACCTGTGCCACCCGTAGTTCTGCTAACAGATCTGTAAAACTCTGGTTTCTGGTGGGCTCTGAATCTTCAACTGCTTGAGACAGGGAACGACTTTTGTGCATCTGTTCTCTGATTTATTTTGAAAATAAAAAGGAGGTATTTTTTTAACAAGTTATTCCTTTTAATATTCAATTCTTAAAATTAAAAATAACTAATAAATGTAACTATATGAGTAACTGAAGGTAAAAATTTTATTTAATCTAAAGATTAAATACTATACTAAAAGAGAAGTATACTTTAAGGAAATCGCTTACATTTGATCTAAAAGAATTGAAACCCAAGATTATTGGTTTATTTATGATATAAAAATATTTCCTTCCAATTTTCAGAGAAAAAAAAATCAATGGCCCAGAAAGATGTGCTGGATTTTTCCTGTAGTGTTAGTGTACTCCTTGTCACATTGTTCTTGTCTCCCCTCTGAGAAACACAAATTGCCAATCTTACGCATGGAAACTAACAAAGCCAAACACAGTCTACTATTTGGACCTTAGATTTGATTTTTCTGTTTTTCAGAGACATTATACAAGGAGTTTAGGAAACTACACAAGATCATCTAACCTTAATGTACTTTATTTCAACATGAAAGTTAATTTAGAACTTCAGTTTTGGATTCTGAAATAGATCTCTTTTAGAAGTCAGATAGTATATAAGAAGTGATTTTTAAAATATTTTATTGAAGCATCTGGAAAGAAAGTAGATATTTACATGCTTTCATGCATTAGAACTGTGCAGATTACCATACTTGGTCTGGCGTTATACCTACCAGGAGAAAGGAATAATTAAAAAAGAAAATTTACACAAAGATGCCCTCTACCTGCCAACCTGTGTAGGGTGCTAGATTTGTCTGCTATAGGGTATGCCTTTCTCTATTTTGCATGAAAGATGTAATATGAGTTATCAGCAGCCGCTGACTCTTAGGCCCTAGGTTATATGACAAAAATAATGGAAGAGGGCAGGCACAGTGGCTCATAGCTGTAACTCTAGCACTTTGGGAGACTGATGTGGGAGGACTGCTTGAAGCCAGGAGTTTGAGACCAGCCTAAGTAAGAGTGAGACCCTTTCTCTACAAAAAAATAGAAAAGTTAGCTAGGCATGGTGGCACGTGCCTATAGACTCAGCTACTTGGGAGGCTGAAGCTTGCCTGAGCCCAGCAGATTGAGGCTGCAGTGAGCCACTCTAGCTCAGGCAACAGAGCAACTCCCAGTCTCCAAAAAAAAAAAATAAAAACAAAAACAAAAAGGAAGAAGCATGTAAATAATGTAAATAAATATGGTAACATCATTCATGAAATTCATAGTCAAAGAAACTTCTTCTGGTAATACTGCTACCTGAGTGATTAGGTGTTTATGTAACAATGCACAAATATAGTAGTCATTTCCTACAAAAAGACAGTACCCTAGTTTGTCCATATTTTACATTCAGCTTTTTCACTTAATATGCTAATGTTGGAAATAGTAATATACAAAAGACCTCATAAGTCTGCAATATGGTTTCTAAGTAGGTGCTGGTGCTCCATCATCCTGCCTGCTGTGGTGAGTACTGGCTAAAACACACTGAAGCTGAAAAATCTCCATCTCTGGAGAAGTGCCCTCAGCCAAACAGCAGCCACTGCCCTCTGGCCTGGAGGACACCCCCGGCCCCTTCTCAGGGCACACCTCAGTGACTGAGGCTGCTCCTTTGCCTCAAAGGGGTACCAACTCTGGTACAATCTATCCTCCAGAACTTCCTGGAGGGGGCAGAATGAAGCCAGTCTCTAGCTGAGACCACATTCCTATTTACTTGCCTCCCCCATCCTGTCCTCTCCTCCATCCTGCTTTGCTTGCCCACTTCTCCTGAGTATCCTGAAGTGGATCACCTCCACAGGGTCCCCATCTCAGGCTCTGAGTCTATGGAACCTTACCTAAGATAGTACATGATACTGTATATATATATTTTTAGTTTTATTAATCACATGGTACCTTAGGAAATAGTTAAGCAAGTCAGGCTTAATGACTAATCAAAAAGAAACACTTTATACTCAATTTCCTGAAATAGATGTTTGAATCAGTTACAAATATAAATTCATATGAGTTCAAATATAACTATGCTGAAAATACTATAAAGTATGTACTAGTCATCTAACACTAAAGGAAAAATCCATTCAATATTAAATACATAAAAGTTACAAAACTAGAAATCAGTGTATAAATGAAAATAAATAAATGTAAAAATAAAGTTCTACAATTTCTAAGTGACAATAAATGTGTTATTAATATAACAATAAAATGCTTGAAATAGTCTTAAGTATATTTGATGTTAAGAATTTCAAAAGGACTTACTTTAAGGAAGCTAACTCACTGAATAAACTTTGGTTTTCCTTAAACATTCGCTCTTCATTTTTCTTGTTTTGTTCTTGGAGATCTTTCACTTGATAGTACAATTTTTCATTTTCCTTTTTAAAAATAGAAAATTTATTTTAATTAAGTCAGTAGTACTTAGATAACACACTATCATAATATATATGCTCATAGTAGATAAATCCTTTAAACATTTTTTTTTTTTTTTTGAGACAGGGTCTCACTCTGTCACCCAGGATGACAGTGGTACAATTATAGTTCACTGCTTTCTCAAACTCTTGGGGTCAAGCGATCCTCCCACCTCAGACTCTTGAGTAGCTGGGACAACAGGAGCACGCCACCACACCCACCTAATTTTTCTTCTTATTTTATTTTTTTGTAAAGATAGGGTCTTGCTATGTTGCTCAGGCTAGTCTTAAACTCCTGGCCTCAAGCGGATCCTCTCACCTTAGCCTCCCAAAGTGCTGGGATTACAGGTGTGAGCCACTGAACTTGGCTCCTTTAAACATTTTTAAGGTCTTTTAAATTTTTTTTGAGTATGCAAAATCTTTTTCAAACTTTTTATATTACCTCAGAAGAAAATCTAGTATCTAAAAACAATTCTTTCCAAAATGCTTCAAATGCTTACTTGAAAAAACAATTTGCAAAAATTCCCAAAGCCAAAGAGTCTCACGTCTGCATAAGGCACAGCATTTCAGTAAGTGAGAGAGTGGCTGAAGAAATCATCATATTCCGACTGTGTGGACCAGGGGCAGAAAGGCCCAGTGGGAATTTTTACACTCTCTTCTGTTTCTGGCCTTGGAGAAGGATAAAAATCACTGCTGGAGGAAGATTCTAGAAGCCTGCCTTCCAGCAGTGAGGTAAAGACTTGTGGGGGGAGGGGAGAAAGGGCATTCATTGAAACCTTAAAATCTGTACCCCCATCATATGCCGAAATAAAAAAAAAAAAAAAGGAAAAAGAAAAAAAAAAAAGACTGGGTGTTTTTGAAAGCTGTCAGGACAAGGCAGAGCATAGACCCAGCTCACCACAAGGCTTGAGCTAAAGTGTGACTCAAACTAGTTGAGATTGGAGGTAGAAGAGAAGGTACCAATCTGCACTTAGATGCTCTGGTTTATTAACCTCTTTAAAGTTAAGAATCTGATAAAAATGAAGGGTTTTTGAGGATCTAATGAACACTCTGGACTGTTTCACTGTATCTGGAATAGTGCCTGGCAGATGGTCTGTGATTAAATACACGCAGAATTAATGAACTCCCTGACCCCAAGTACTCAGATACATTTTGTATTATCTTTGTGGGAGGGGGTGGGTAGCATACTTATGGTTCTGTGAAATCTCCTTAAAAACTCTTGTTTTATATGGCAAGATTAGACTGGCAGGAGAAGAGTGAAAGGTTCTCACTAACTCAAGGGCAGTGCATCCTGCAAAATCAGTCTGTTTCATTTTAGAGCAAAGGTAATCATTGATGTGGCAATGATTTCTCTGAATGTCCCTGGTTGACAATGCATGTTACTAGTAGGCTCAATGCTCAGGCTATAGTTGTCAAAAGAGAAGAATGTAATGAAAGAAAAGGAGAAGGAAGAGAAGTAAGAAAAAAGAAGATGAGAGGCAGAGAACAAGGAGAAAGTCTTATGCTGCAGATCATTAAACCTGTCCAGGCTGACAGGCCAGCCTCACCAAGACTCTATCATATATTGTAAGTATCTGCAAACACACAGATCTTCTTACATTACATTCAAAATTTTTTTTTTACACTCAAGGCATTAGCAATTGATTCCAGATTCATATTTTTAAATACAATAGCAAAACTAGTCAATATTATCTGCTGAAAAGCATTACAGAAAACTAAAAAAAATAAAAAATAGGGTAGTTTCTAAGTAACATGGCTATTAAAAATAAAAACTGGTAACATTCATTGATTGCTTACTGTGTGCCAGGCTAAGAGGGTACAGATGCTCCTTGAATTAACGGTGGGGTGGGACTATGTCCTGATAAACCCAGCACAAGTCAAAAATATCCTAAGTCAAAAATGCATTTAATACCCTGGTAAACCCACCGCAGGGGTTTACTCAAAAAAAGTAAGTTTAACCATTGTAAGTCTAGATGCTCCTATCTGTATTATTATCTCCATTTCACAGATGAAGAAACTGGCTTGAAAGTGAAGTGATTACCAGCAGGTGGTAAAGCTAAGGCTCTAAAGCCAGATTCTTTGAATCTAGAACCCATGCTCTTAGCCACTTTAATTCTGCTCATGAGAAATGTGCAGACTAGTCAAATTATTACTTCCTCTATTTGCCAGAATTCTCATTACCTGTTATTTAATATGCCTTATTTTTATAATTAAAGGATGAAGAGCAAATTTGCCATGTGCTGAAGAATTGCCATACCTGTTGATATCCTTGAAGAAGTGTCTCTTGTTCTTGTATTTCCTTTCGGATTTGCTTCAATTTTTCTCCAGTGACAGGATCAGTTGTTTCTCCAATATGTAACCACCTTTGTTTTTTGTTTGTTTCTTCAAAGCTACTTAACTTTGAGAAAATGCAGAAATTGTTTTACTTGGGGAAGAAAACGATGAAGTGAGAAATGAGGAAGAATAATAGAAAACTTAAGGTGTTTAAACCCAGAACTATCTTACAATATTAACCACACTGGAATGTCCCATAACTACAGTTAAATCAGCAATGAGGTTTTGTGCTGATGGTTCTGGTGAGTGAAGTAACTCAGAAATGCTACACAGTGACAGTCTTCTATCCATCAAAATGAGCCAATTTAAACTTAGATTTCCCCCTAGAGGGTTTGATTAGGCTCTCAGGTAAGGAGGCACTCTCAAAACCATGTCCATATTTTATACAGCAAATACATCAAGTCAAATACTCCAGGAACCCAGATGACAATGCATTTAGCAGGGAGTGTTAAGTTTCTTTTTTTTTTAATTAATAAAAGGAAAAATACAACAATGTGTCTAGTACCTTGGTTTGAAGGATATAATTGTCTTGATTCAATCTGAAGAGTTCTTTTTCCTGTTGTCTTTTTAGTTCTTCCAACTTATTTTCCAGTTCTTTTTCTTTTTCTGAGAATGTGACTTTAATTTGCTCAATTAGGGCTTGTGCACCCCTCCATTTCTCCTCTGCTTCCTGAACTCTTTTAAACATAAATAATTCTTTCTCTTCATTCCCCCCACAGTATCCTGAAGAATCCTTTAAAGGAAAAGCATTATTTCATCACAGTCAAGATTCAAACACAGGTGATTAAAAAACAAAACAAAACATAAAAAGAATAAAAATGACACGGTTAAATATGTTCTACTATATAAGAAAATCTGTAAGTGTTCTCTTGAAGGAAAGGAAATGTCATATATTTATTATATTTTGTTTATAATTTAGTTTTAATATTTTAGAACATAAAAATTATGAACATGAATTTGAAATTTAATACTTACAGTTTTAAACTGAATGCAAGGATCAGTTTCTGTAGGATCTTCAGACTTCTTAGGAGTAGCCAGGCAACTTTCAGTTCTAGGAACTGGATTACTCAAAGCTGCAGGTTTGATGAGTTTTGTTCCAGATAAGATTTCTAAATATTGTAAACAATGAATAAAAGCACCACAAATATAAAGTTGAATGTGTATTCAACAGTTTAAATAACAATAAGTACAAATACAATAGGAACACTTAGATAAAATGAGGATCTCAAAATAGGCTGATGTACAACATTATTACACAGCTGTTTCACTGTTTCACTATGATAATTAACTGCACTCAGAAGAAATGCCACCCATAATCAACATTCTACTTAATTTGACACAGATGGCTAATTGACCCTAGACTTATGTCAAATGACAAATGGAGCTAAATAAATGTGAAGAGAATGTGGAATTGGGATAACTTCAAGCAAGCTTTTTACTTTTAAATATTCTTTTAAATGTTCACAGAATAAATAAGAATTTCTAAGTGACAAATCAAAGAGCAGCTGATAACTTTATAAAGCATTTTAGGTCAGATTAAGTGTGCTTTCAAAAAACACTTTATAAACAATGTATTCCAAGATATTATAGTATCAGTGCAATAATAATGAATTGCATGGAGGACTCTATAACAGCTAATCTAAACCTGATTTTAAAAGATTAATAATACTACTATAATAAACCCTGGTAATATGTATGTATTAAATTAGAAAAAATGTAATTAATGTATATTCTGGTCCAATTTTCAGCTCTTAAGCTGTAAATCCCCGAACAGTAGAATAATTCTAATGCCAATACATTACTCAGTTAATAATAAACAATGTTTAGGGGAAACAGTTAGAAGGGATATCAAGGGATATATTCAAATATTATAGGACCTGAGCTGAACACTCATGAAACATTATCTTATTGCCATAGAGGTAAATGAAGAACTTTGAAATTTATATTTTTAAGATAATTTCTTTAAGATGCTAACTTTTTACATGTAGAGTTTACTTTTTCATTAAAGATGTTATAGATCATTAAAGATTTGGAAAATATACAAAAGTTAAAAGAAAAAAGAAATCACCAAAAGTTCCTCACCAAAAGATTAATTTCAATATTTTTTCTAGGCATTCAAAAGTTTTCTTTACAGAGTTATGATCACATTTAATTAGACTAATGTAGGTTTTCTGGAGAAATTTCTTACACCATACATAAAGAGATTGTTTGAGTCATTGTAAACGCAGGCATCTAATCCTTCTAAATCATTGGAAGTTCATTACTATAACAAATGAATGGGGGATATGCTAGTATATGAGTCTCCTTAGGATGAAGCAGTCCAGGTTGAACATCTCAAATCTGAAAACACAAAATCTGAACAGTACCAAAATCCAAAACTTTTTTGAGTACCAACATGAAATTCAAAGGAAATACTTATTGGAACATTTCAAATTTTGGATTTTTGGATTTGGAATGCCAACTGGTAAGTAAAATGCAAATATTCCAAAATCCAAAAAAAATCTGAAATCTGAAACATTTCTGATTGGTCTCAAAATTTTTAAGTAAGGGATACTCAACCTGTAACATGTTCTTGTTCATAAGCTATAGTCTCCTAGTCCTTTTATACTAGAATTTGCCTGTCCTGAATTCTTAATTTTGATTTCTCACTTAGTGGACTAAAGTATCTTAAATAATTATTTTCAATAATGGAACATGGGAAGTATCTTCTCCTTTTACACATAAAAGAAAATCTGGCCTGGGTGTGGTAGTGTATGCCTGTAATCTCAGCACTTTGGGAAGCCAAAGCGAGAGGATCATTTGAGGCAGAGTTCGAGACCATCCTGAGCTGAGCGACAAAGCAAGACCTTGCCTTTATAAAAAATTAGCCAGGTGTGGTGGTATGCGCCTGTATTCCTAGCTACTTGGAAGGTAGGAGAATTGCCTTGAGCCTAGGAGTTTGAGAATAGCCTGGGTGACAGTGTGAGACCTCATCTCTGGGGGGGGGGGAGGTAATTTGTTGAATATAAAATTTAAACATGAAAACATGGCAGAATTTGGAACTCATGAAGCCTTCTTGAAAAACAATACATTAAGAAAATTCAGTCAAAAAAGAAACCAATCAAAATAATTCCAGAATGGAGAAACACTGGCTAAAAGACAGGTGAAAAGCATTCAATCTCTTTGATAATCAGAACTAAGAACTAATCAAAAAGGTGAGGGGAATTATAGTTGCAATAGAGAATATAAAAATATACCTTGAACAAGTAAAAACAAAACCCACAAAAATGGGTAGGAGGCATGTAACTGGGGGATATATTACTTTAAATCTCACAAAAGGGAAGGAAATGATTGATAATATATAAAATTGAAAAATACAGTTAAGAACACCATGGTTATGGCAACCTTTGAGTTGTTTTCATAATCTATTTTCTTAAAGGGATCTTTTGGGACATACAATTTTTTTGGTATAAAGTTTCTTTTCTTCTTACAGATTAAAGTAAAACTAAATCTAATATTTCACTTATAAAGAACTTGCAAAGCGATCCTATTCTCATAAAATGTTTTGTCCACTTATCCACGTATGCCTTCTCTTTCCTTCCATCCATTCATTCATGCTCCCTTCTATCAGTACATAAATAGCGAGAAGCATGGAATCATGCTTACCCAGCATGACACTCAGTGTGATACCCGTGTTTATGGCTCAATTATTGCTTTCTTTTTATTTTTCTGCATTTTAAATTTTAAATAATGAGCAAGCATTCCTTTCATGACAATAAAATTATTAGTCTAAAAAATAAAAACACAAGAGTTAGAGCCAAAAAAAATCTATCTAGAATAAAAAGGAAGACAACTATGTTGTGGTGCTGTTAGCTACCAACCTCGTCTTCCTCCCTATTAAAGAGATCTAATTTTGACCTGAGCAGCTATGTGCTTGTAACAAAGGGAATGGCCTGAAAAAAAATGGCAAAAATATTTCCTGTCTCTTTAAAACTTGCCCCACTCTTTTTGGAAACTGCAGCCTGGCCAGCATTCTGAGGCAGGTTAAGTCTTTTGTTATAAGAGATAACTCAGTCATCCTAGGCCAGCACCAGCCCCAGCCCCCCAGGTGGGGCTTTGTCTTTGGCAGAGATGTGACAACTAGAAGAGTTAACCACAATAGCCTAGTACAGAGGGGCACTCCTTTTAAAAGCTCTGTATTTTTGCTATGTTCAGGTAATTTGGATTTTGAGGCTAGAAATTCTACGATTTTCCTTCTTTTGCCAGCGAAGTAATAAACTTCTGGTTTCTTCTCCTCAAACTACTTGTTCTTCTGATATGGCCTTCAGTTAGACAAGTGCTGAGCTTTCGGTAACATGCTCACTTAAACAAACTCAATCCCTGAACTCCATGCAACTGAGGGTGGCCACAAAATCAATGTTCTGGTCAGTAAGATGGAAATAAAAGTTTCCTACATGGTGTTTCTAGAAAAGTGATTACTTTCCTGATTAGGAAGTTGGCAAGTTGGCTGGCATCTACATTTTACCTTTTACCCTACCTCATAGAGAGGCCCTGGAGGTTGAGTAGCCATAGTGTGAAAGTGAAGGCAAAAGTCACATACTAAGAATTTTACATCAGGAAAGAAGAAATTTTGGTTTCTTTGAACTGCCTATCTCTGGACTCTGTAACATGAAAAAGAGACGTCTTTTATTTTTTTAAGCCCCAGTAGCTGGGCCTCTTTGTCATCCTAACCTAACCAGTGTTGATCCCAATTACATTCTCTGTACTTTCTGTACACTAATCTCTATCTCAGAGTGCACCTCCCAAAGAACCAAACCGATTACAAGTAACAACCATCCCAAAGGAATTACAATTCTTTTGAATAAAACTAGCTGAGCGTGGTGGCTCACGCCTGTAATCCCAGCACTCTGGGAGGCTGAGGCGGGAGGATTGCTTGAGGTCAGGAGTTCAAGACCAGCCTGAGCAACAGCGAGACCCCATTTCTACTAAAATAGAAAGAAATTAATTGGCCAACTAAAAATATATAAAAAAAATTAGCTGGGCATGGTGGTGCATGCCAGTAGTCCCAGCTACTCGGGAGGCTTGAGGCAGGAGGATGGATCTCTGGAGTCCAGGAGTTTGAGGTTGCTGTGAGTTAGGCTAACGCCATGGCACTCTAGCCAGTGTAACAGAGTGAGACTCTGTCTCATAAAAAAATAAAAAACAAAACAAAAACCAAAATAAAAAACTAAAACTGCTCTCGGTAATTCTTCAACAAAAAAACAGAGCTAAAAATATCAAACTTAACAGGTAGTCTAATGAGAAAAAGTCCAGTATAAGAACAATCATAGTTTATCATTACACTTTAATATAAATTTTAGTAATGTGTTTTATTTTCATTTTGGTAGTCACAAATACTATAAAATTTTGAAATATGAAAAATAAGTTTAAGAATATTACTTCACTTTACTCATAAAAATATTCTTGCCTTCATTTATCAACCTCCACAAAATTTCCCTTGTTTCTTTTTCACTCACTATGACATTACTGTTTTCATCCTTGGCAATTTCAATGTTCTGATGGGTGATCCTTTTAATGCTCTGGCTTTTGGTTCCTTGAACTTACCTCCACCTCAGCTGCTCCTTCCCATTGGCATAGTCTAGGTCTTTCTACTGCCAGTAACATAACCACTCCCTAACCCCAGCCTTAGGTTCTTTCTCTCTGACAATCACATCTCTATCTCTGTACCTCCCTCTGTTACCTGGATTCCAACAGTCCTTTGACCCCTACTAGGACTCACAGGCTGTGGATTTACCTGTTTCACTTTGTACAATATCCCCTGATGACCTTTCTTCCTTCATTACTCGACTTAAATTCATGGTCAACCATTTTAATCATTGGCTCCCTTCTTGCTTCTACCTCAGTTCATTGTCCTCACTTGATAAAACCCATACTTTCTGGTAAATCCAACTATACAACTCAGTGTAAACTCATGATCAGTTACTTCACGTAGACGCTTTTGGCTGCTGGCAGTCTAACCCTCCTGGATTGCTACGTCACACCTTCTCTTCTCTCCTGTAACCTCTAACACCTCTGCTCACCCTCACTCTCATCTAATGATATTTCTTTCTATTTCTCAGAGAAAACTGAAGCAAACAGAAGAAAGCATCAACATTCTATCTCCACATCATCTATTCACCTACCAGCGTAAACTCTCCCTTCCTATCCACCTCCACTGCTCCTAGAACATAGGAACTATCTAGATTCCTATCTAATGCCAACCATTCTACAGTGCACCAGACCCCACAACTGTTCCTCTCAAGGACCTTGTTCCACCTTGTTCTTCCCTCTCTCCTACATCATCAATTATTTTCCTCTCTACTGAATCTTTTTAACAACATGCATACTATGATTTCCCCCATTAAAAACAAAGCAAAGCAAAAAACTTCTCTTGATCCACCTCTCATGTTTACTACTGCCCCATTATTTTGCTGCCTTTTACAGCAACCTTTCAGTTCCAGGGTGGTCTATCACTTGAAGCACCAATTCCACTCCTCCTATTTCCTTCCACTCCCATTAAATTTGCCTTTTACAGCCACCTCTCCATGGAAAATGCTATCTACTTTTATGATGACCTCCTCCTTGCTAAACCCAAAGGGCAGTTCTCGGTCCTCACTCTTCTTCTACAGCAGCAAATGACAGAGTGGCTTCTTCTTAATATACTTTCTTCACTTAGTTTTTAGGATTCCACATGCTCACAGGTTTCCTCCAACCTCAGTCTGTCTCCTTTGCAGGTTCATCCTTTTCTGCCTGACCTCTAAAGCTTAGGATGCCCAGGACTCAGGCCTTGGTTTGCTTTTTTCCCCTAGCTATGCTAACTTTCTTGGTACTCTCAGCTTCATGGCTTTAAAAAACACCTTTATTAGTTTTTAACAACTCCCGAATGATATTTAGTTCAGACTTTCATATCTAACTGCCTCTTTGTCATCTCCATTTGCATGTTGAATAGATCTCAAAATTATCTCCAAAACTAAACTCTCAGTCTTCCTTCAACCCCCAAATCTATTCTACTGTGCTTTTCCCCATCTCATCTGATAGTAACTCCATTCTTCCAGTTGCTCAAGCCAAAAACGTTAGCAACCCAAAATTAATTCTATAGATTTTTGGTTCTACCTTCTAAATATATCTTTATCCAACCACTTTTCATCACCTACACTGCCACCGCCCTGGGTTAAGCCCTGTCACTGTCTATAAATTGCATCTTTCAGAAATGGAACGCAGTATTTTAAGATTAATTCTCTTCCCTAAAAGTGAAGACAGTAAAATAATGTACTATATACACAGTATTCTATTATGAAGAGTATATGATTACCTTTTTTCCTAGCTTGATTTGAGGTGGGTATGGATCTCAAATTTTTGCTTTTTGTAACATCCTTTGAAGTTTTCTTTTCAAGAGTGGACAAGTTGAGTGGCGAACTGGGTTTGCCATAGCCTGAGCTCCTGACTGATGCATATAATCCACTCTGGGGTTTCTTTTTAAGTAAAGGAGGTGTACTTCTGACCTTCTTGTATGGTGCCTGTTTGCCAACTACAGTCCCTTCTTCTCCAGAACTGAGTTGAGATCTGTAAGTCTGCACACAACAAGCACAAACTCTTTAGTACCTAAAGGAACTTCAATTATTATTGTAAATGAAGATTTAGCAGATGGCAAAACAACAGTGATTATCAAACAATGTAGTTTATAAAAGGCAAACTACTACAGTCAGGTTCTTAAGTCTAATGCATCAGAATTTATTTGAAGCACATCTTCCAAGTTATCACTGAAACAAAGTAAAGCAAAACTATAAAGCAAAATAAGCTTGTCAGAAAACAAAATGTATAATTATCAGAATGAACATGGAAGAGAGCAAAGAAGAACGTATTTTGAAATGACATAAAATCATATCTTTTTTCCTCTGGACTTCTCAAGATGCTTTTAAAAACTTATTAATACCTTGTCTTTCCTAAAAAAAACCGGAGATGACTTAAAGTAAACACCTAATTCAAAAATATAACAAATAGAACATTCAGATCATGGGAACCTTAAAGCAGAAGAGATCAAGAATAGAGGAAAAAGAAAGACACAGTGAAATATAATTGTCTTCACAGTTGCTAATAGTATTCCTACAAAATGCCAACTTACCTATAATACCAACTATTGGAAAGATTGAACAATGAGCACTACAGTGACAAATGAACTTTACTTTCTTATACTATTCAAATTCTGAACCATATTTACTTCAAAAAAAAGAAGTGTAAAGAATGGCTTCTGAAAGAAAGCTAATGTTATAGTGGAATTTGAGGATTGAGGGTGTTTTATAAGTATCACCAACAAACATCCAAGATCTACTGGGGAGGTCAGTATATAACTAATCCCACTAGTTTAAGAAGCACACACCTATTAATAGTACCCATATACTTTACATAACTTCAGTTCTGAAGATATCAAATCAATTTAGATTATAAATACTTACTTTATTAATTTTGTCATCTTGAATTAATAATGAAGGATTAACAGATGTTTTTTTCCTCAGAATATCAAGGTACATTTTATCAATATGTTCTTCTGTAGCAGATACTCTTGGATGGCTATTTTCCATACCCTCATTTGTTGCCTTTTGTGAAATCACCTTCTGATCATTTTTGTCAAAAAATTGGTTCACATGTTGTGGGTCTTGAGATATAACATTTGGGTTCATATTAAGAGGTAAAGGGCTAACAAATTCAGTTTCTTTATTATCAGCCACTTTCTTAGAGCTATAAAACAAAACAGGACACAGATAACAAACTCTATATAATGACTCCTCAAATATCAGTTATATATGCATGATACACCATACGAACACGCACACACACGAGTTGTAACAATTCAAATTAAGTTACTAATGTTAAATAAATTATAATTCTGGTTAACACAGTAACTCAATAGTATATTTGTTTTTAACTTCACATAATTTTAATGCAGTATAATACAAAGGATTACACAAGTGACTCTGAGACCTACTTTAAAGAGAGACCAAACTAAACATTAGATTGCTTTTGTATAAGAAAATAATACATTTCTAAACCAGACACTATAGAGAATAATATATTTATAAGGTAGTTCTTCCTTAAGAACAGAATAATGGCCTAATTAAGGAAAATCCCTATCCCCAAGGTAGGAGGGTATCTTTACAAGGTCTTTCTAGTGGTTTGAAACACTGATTGCTGTTATTTTCCTCATACCTTTCCTTCCCAAATGGGATTATCAGTTGTAGTTCCACCATTATATTTATTGGGTGGAGGTAAGGAAGGATAGAACTTGTCTTTTTAATTCATCCACTGGTAATTGATAAGGAGCCCCACCCATACCTGATGGAGAGGACTGTGCTTCCCTGGAAATCCTGGCCTTTCAGATGCATATAGTCCTGAATGGGACTTTGGGGCTGTCTGCTTTGGGAGGGGATAGGCTGGGCTGGGTATGAAGAACAGTGAAATGGATATTTAGTTATTATAAGGGTATATCCTGGCAGAGGCTGACCAGATACCATGTTTCCCTGAAAATAAGGCCTACTCATAAAATAAGCCCTAGCAGGATTTCTAAACATTTGTGCAATATAAGCCCCAGCCTGAAAATAAGACCTAGTGATGGGCTTGGCTACGCAGCATATCTGCACAACCCATGCATTTCGTCATAGAGTGGTAAAGAAGACGAGCAGCCCTTCATCTGCCCCATGAGAGCTCTGTTGCTCGACATGAGACTGGGGCCAATGGTTCTAAAGGAAATAGAGTCGCAAGAAATTCAGGATGGAATTCAGGGTTTGGAGAGTTATGATGATATTCCAGAAGAAGATGACTTAATTATATTTGAATAAATGTAGATTGTTGTACCGTACTAAAAAAAAAAAAAATAACCCATTCCCTGAAAATAAGCCCTAGGGTGTCTTTTTGAGAAAAAATAAACATAAGACCCTGTTTTATTTTCAGGGAAACACGGTACCTATCAAATTCATTTACTTTTCTTTCTGTGTTGAAGCAGTTAAAAGAAAGTAGGCTAACCCATTCTCTTTCTTTCCTTACTGACTAGTTGGATGATGTTATAACAACCTTAAAACCATGTGCTACTGACAGAAGCAGGCTGGGTTCCTAAATTACTGTGTGAAGCACAACCCCACCTCAATTCCACTGACCCACAGGGGATGGTAATATGAGCAAGAAATAAGTCTGTATGATGTTTAGCTATTAAGATTTCAAAGATTATCTGTTACGGCAGCTAGGATTATTTACCCTACAGCTTACTAAAGATTTTTTAGATATGTGTACTAAAGGTAATATTACTGACATTTCCATTATTATTATTATATCTTTAATGTAAGTATATTTGTTTTCAGCCTTTAAACACAATTGTAAAAATCTATGTTTTAGAATTCATATTGCTAAAATGGTTTTACCTATAACAGCAAAGACACAAGATGTTTAAGAAAATCTCTTTAGTAACACTAACATATTCCCAAACAGCAGTAATAAGAGCTCATCTACCTTTAAAAATACTAACTAGCACTACAGATCAGAGGAAGAATACTAGACTTAGAATTCAAGTGGATGGACTTTAGTGTCAGCTGCATTGCATCATTTTCTCTCAACTATCACAAATGCAGAAACAAGAAATCACTGCAAGTAGATTTACATGATGACAATGTAGTCCAAGGAAGAGCTCAAAACATGTCTCTTGAAAAAACAATTGAACAAATGACTACATGAATGGATGACAGAGTATTTCACAGAAATATTTCATGGATATCAAAGATCTGACAACATAAATGGTTAAACACATGGACTACCTGTGTTCCCTTGTTATAGCCATGTGACTTTTGGCAATGGCTTTATTTTAACCTTTTTTAAACATCAGTTTTCTTGTCTATGAAATAGGAATAATAATGGACTACACCCCATGGAGTTGCTATTAAATGAAATAATATACATCAAGAACTTTGCACAGTTATTGCCCACTGTAAAGGTAATAAATGTTAGCTGTTAATATCCACCATTAAACTGGGTTTACTTCAGTTTCATCTCTTGAATTATGAGAATAAAGATGTTCATCTCTTGAATTATGAGAATAAAGATGCCTGTCCCACTTGTTATAAAGATCACCTGAGATGCTGAACATGACATTCTAAGTGCTACACAAATGCAAAGTTGTCTTATGACAAGGTTACTGTGATGTGTTACTCTGTGTGTTGAAGAATGACAGTGGATTATACATACTGCCACTAAATTACATTGGAAGTGGACCATTTTCATGAAGCTCATTTCTCTTAGTGACAGAGTACTCACTCTGTGAGATGATAGCCAGTCTGGGACTAAGTTATAACTAACTGGTTTCTAAATAAGCAAATCTATGACTCATATACAGAATAAAATTCACCTTCCTCCTCATTGTGAATCAACTGTCCCTGTGCTATTATTTAAAACTGAAGAGACTGTATTTTTCAGTGAAAAGCTTTAGGTCTATGTAATGGCAGTAACTTTTTTAGTAGCATCTATTTTTTTTTTTTTTTCTTTTAGCTCTAGAAGAATTTTGACGAATTAATTGAGTGCAGCAAACATAGAAAGGAGAGAGCAGGCAAACATAGAAAGGAGAGAGCAATGACTCACAGATAGACTCATATAAGCTAATATTAGTTACTAATCATTCAGTAGGAATCATTACATCTAACAAATGATTATAAAAGTTTCCAACGACAAAACAATGAACAAATAAAAACTCAACCAACTAATCAACATGTACAATATATTCCAAAAAACTCATACCTGACAGGTTGTAAATCAAAACCACTGATCCCAAAGGAATCAATTCTGATAGGTTTCATCAGCTCCTCTACTGTGGGCAGATCTAAGAGGGGAAAAAATTAAAGTAGAAACTGAAAATAGTATATAAATTACTTAACTTACATGTCTAATACCACCAAAATTACACTTTTTTTTAACTGACATAGTTGACAAAATGGCATAGGCAATAAACCTAATTTCCCATAGTAAATTTGCTTATACCAGAAAAACCTCCTTTGATATTCATCAAATATCAGATATATTGAATATATATCTCAAATATCGATATCAAGTAAATATCAAAGAATATCTACATATACATTTGCTAAGTATGCATTTAGTCGATCTCAAAATACTGTTTGCTATTCAAAAAAAACTCAATAACTTTAACATATGTACATGCGAAAAGTGTAAAAAAATGAGAGCTTAAGTGATATCTTAATCTGGTCCAGGCGTATTAGAGGAAATGTAATTTTATTCTGTGTTTGGCTCTAATTTTAGTTAAACCAATGATTCCTGTACTTCATTTAAACAACTCCTTAATTAAGTTGAGAGACTGAGAAACATTCACCACAGCAAACTGTATTTAAATTATACTATACTACAAATTCTTTAGAGAGCATCTTAAATAACTGAAAAGTATATCTATTTATATCTATCAGCTTTTACCAGATTCAGTAGTAGAGATGTTTTTCGAAGACTCTTCATTTTCTTGAGGATGATCTTTCACTGAGCTCTTGACATTTTCCATCACATTACTCTCAATTCTTTGTTCATCTGCATCTTCCAAAGAATGGGCTACATGACAATAAGCCCGATGTAGGGCTTCAATGTCACTACTGCTTTGTCCATAAGAAACACCTGTTGAAATAAATGTAATCCACAGGAATAATTATATCACAAATACATGAGAAATATAAAACACTAATATCATTCCTTAATCTGTTCTGAATGGTGAACAAGGCTGTAGAACAATAGCAGAATTATAAAAGTAGAATTAAGCACAAACAGGTACTCTGTAGCTGTTGCCTACCAGTATGAAATCATACCAGGCTCAACAACTCTACTCAGCAAGTTAAGATTTGTACTCATGTAGTCACTGTAAAACGTGACTTCACTAGTCACTGCCCTCTCTTCCTACTCTTCTTAATCAACAACTCTGCACTGGAAAAAAACTATTTTTAAATTTCTAAATCTGACACATTCCTTTGAAGGATTCTATCTTTCCCTTACCACTACTGCTCTCTTAACTCTCTCTGCTTTCCTGTATCAACAAGCATCTTGCAGTGTGCATTTTTTATTTAACCACAATTCACTCCTCTAACTTTGTAATCCAGTATGTTCCAATATTCTGCTAAAGCTGCTGTAATCAAAAGCAATTTCCTAATAGCCAAATCCTTCCATCTTTAGTTCTCTACAACTTTATGAGACATTTGTCGTTATCCTTTTCCTGGTACCCATTTGTTCTGCATCCCTTCTTCTTTTTGTTATCTCCACCATTCTGATTGGCTACTTTTCAATCTCTTACAGTCTATGGCTCATCTCAGGGCTACAACTTAACCCTCTTTTTTGAACCTCTCACTATTTTTTTGGTGTAAAAAAGACACTTCATCAAGACGCTTAGCTTCATCTATTACCCATATGCTCATGACTCCCAAATCTATGCCTTTTGTCCATATAACTTTTTCCTGACAGGCATTTAGATTGTCCTGTAAGTAAATCACATCTTACATATCCCCAAATGAATTCATTATATTCCCCAACAAACCTTGTTCCACTACCAATATTTCCTACTTAAGCTAAAGGCATCGCTATTTACTCAGTCACCCAACATAGAAACCTCGACGTCATTATTCACTCTTCCTTCCCTATAAACTTCTTTCCACCATTTGACAAATAAATTCTAGCAAAAAGAATTCAAAGGATCTAAGGACAATAATGATCTCAGATTTTTATGAGTATTTTCTTACTCACTTTGTAAGTTTCATTACTAACAAGCAGAATTTTCAAAATTAGACAAAATAATGAGTCATAAAAGAATGGGGAAAAGAAAGAGGAGAAATAGGGTGACCAATCCCTTCTCTGGATACCCATGGTTAATTAATGCTTAAAACTCAAACAGTATATACAGCCCCACCTCTATGTGTGTGTGTGTGTGTGTGTGTGTGTGTGTGTGTGCATATATATATATATATATATGTATGTATATATGCTATAAGTTGTACAGTGCACAACTCTGAGGGGCTATTTTCAACACTAAACATAAGAGATGAGTACTGCATATAAGATTGTCTATCTGTAAGAATGCCTTACAATGAGATGGCTTTCAAGCTAATGCTTCAGGTCACAATGGTCATTTAGAATACACACAATAACAAATTTGGTTAAATAAACTAAAAACAAAAACAAGAGGGGGATACTGTTAGAGCAGAACTGCCAACAATTAATGGGTAGGGATTCTCCAAGTGGACATGAGGAAAAAGATCTTGCCTATTAAGGTGAGCCTGCCTTTCCCCCTAAACCACCATCCAGGCTCAGAGTAGCATGACTGAAAGAGAGAATTAAATTTTAGGAAAAAAGGTAAACACAAGGTATTTTTTTCTTTATAAAAATATCAGGATGTGCAAGTATTTTTTGAGTATACATAAAAGAAATGATTTCAATTTGGTATATATATATATGTACACACACACACACACACAATGGAATACTACTCAATAATAAGAAATGACAGTGATCTAGCATGACTTATATTTTCCTAGAGAGAGCACATAAAATGTAACTAAAATGTTTGTACCATCATAATATCCTGAAATTAAAAACAAATGATTTCAATGGCAAATAACAGAGTAGTATTGAATGCTTGCTCATATCTAACTTAAGAGGTATAAGATGTTACAAGGAGGAAGTTCTATGACTTAAAGCAACAACAGAGCAAATATGCAGAAAAACAAATGATCTAAAAGTTAGAAATTAGAAATGGAGGATGAAGAGGCATTCAGAGCTGCTCAGAAAACAGAGCAGGGAAAGGTACTTGTCTCCTAACTTGAGCCATTAACCTAAGTCATATTAAAAATAATGCCATAGTCACGTAAGTTAACTTTTTCCATGCATTTTTTGAAAAGGGCTTACTTATCTTCCTTAATTAAAAAGAGAGCACTCTATAGTTATTTTATATATTACTACAAGATAAAATGTCCCTATATTTTTCAAATTTAGAATGCTGAGAAGTGTCTAATCCTATTTTGCAGAGGAAAGGGTCTAGTTTCATGGAGCAATAATGTCATTCTGTGACTATTCCCGTCATGCAGCCACAGCACAAAATGGCACTTTCCTGAGACAGATAAAAACAAGTGAAGGGCTAGATATGGCTTAGGGTCAGGAAAACCTAACTTTTATATTTACTAACCTCTTTAATACAACAAAGCACAAAGAATTTCATGAATATTATTAACAAAAGATAATCTTTAACAATGATTTACCTATACCTAGTCAGCTTATTATTAGAACACAGTAAAACAAAACAAAAAACCCACTGAATTTTTCAGTTCTTAAACCAAGTTCAGATGCTCATTTGAAGACTTCCAAGTGCATTTTTGAAATGCTAGGAAATTCAGTATCCCACAGCCAATAAATATTTATATGGTATGACTTCAGGTTATTATTATAGCTTGTGCTATTATTAACAGAGGGTTGATATAAATAATAATAACCACATAGCTGCTACTGCTCACTGAATCTGAAGTAATGTATTATACAGTATGCACTATCTCAGCTGACCATCACAAGTCCTTTAAGAAGAGGAAACAGGCTTACAGGCATTAATTATCCAATGTCATATAGCTGATAAGTGGCAAGGCTGGGAGTATGAAGCCAAGTCTATGTGACAGTAAGTTCATGCTGTACTACCTTCTAGTAATTAACTAATCGAATTATTTCAGAGTCAAGAACATTTAAGAAACAGGACCAAAACATGATAGCTTTATATAATTGCTTGGATTATCTTAACAGAATTTTTATTTTTAGTAATACATTTTTTATTTCTGAGTTTTTCTTATAATGTATAGCAGCAGGGATTTTCGCACTATGTTTTACAAAATCATACTAATAGTTTTTCAGAGAAAATCATGGGTTCCATAGATGTTTGACTGAAATTCCATTTTAAATCATGCTTTAAAACTAAAATCTGCACACTCAAATGTACAATTTATGTAACTGCAATATTTTGAAGGTATTATGTAATTATATTTTTGATAACTTATGCCTTCTCTTTTACTTGTTTTCCTACACATGTCATAATAAAGTTTCTCTGGCCATCCAGCATATATATGAACTTCCTCTAAAATACTGTTGATTAGAAAAGTTGTAGTTTCACTTTGGTCTTTTAAAAGAATTCATGTCTGCTCACTGATAACTGTGCAAATGGACAGACTATCATGGCACATATGTGACATAGTTACTTACGTCACAGCAGTAAGGCTGAAGGACATGTGCTTCATCACAGTGGAATATTCAGTTAGGCAACAAGAAGTGAGTAACAGGTCTTGGGCAAATTCTTATAGTTGTAATTTTTTAACTTTTATATTTTAAAATGGAAGTGGATGCAATAAGCCAAAATAGTGGTGACTCAAAATAGTGGTGACTCACTGTCTTTCTAAGGAAAGACGGTGAAATAAGAGATACATGATGAGACATTGTGGTTTGGGTCCTTGTTTTTTGATCTACTTGCTGATTACAATGGTATGTCCAGTACTTTGAGTTGCAGTATCATGACACATAAACTTATTATATGTATATTATCAATAAAAAAGTAAAAATAAGTAAAAATAAAATCCAAACTAGTATTTGGAGTTGGTTAGTGATTTATTACTCTTTTTTTTCCCCAGTGTCTGAATTGGTTTAGTTGGCCAGTATCCATACTATAAAGCAAGCTGATTAAAAAGTTCCCATTTGCAACTATTTATGTGTTAAAACAAGAATAATTTTATACTGTACTACAAAAACAAAATATAAAAACACATTGGAAGGCTGACGGCTATATGAGAATGTAACAGATCTTCTATAATAGTTTCTGTTTTTAAAATTTTCAAAAGACCATTTTTGCTCTCATTAATTTTATAGGTAAATGTTACAAATGTGAGCTTATATATATTTATACTGATAAAATACCATTTTTACCTATATAGAGGGTTCTACATAAGATTTTAATTGGAGATAAGGCTTCCATTGCTTTAAAAATGTTTGAAAAGGCACTGTCTCAAAGACCTTTATCAGCTTTAGCAAACTCTAGTTAGTCCTAGGTATTATGGAATTTTTTTTTTTTTTTGAAACAGAGTCTCACTTTGTTGCCCAGGCTAGAGTGAGTGCCATGCGTCAGCCTAGCTCACAGCAACCTCAAACTCCTGGACTTAAGCAATCCTCCTGCCTCAGCCTCCCAAGTAGCTGGGACTACAGGCATGTGCCACCATGCCCGGCTAATTTTTTGTATATATGTGTTAGTTGGCCAATTAATTTCTTTCTATTTATGGTAGAGATGGGGTCTCACTCTTGCTCAGGCTGGTTTCGAACTCCTGACCTTGAGCAATCCACCCGCCTCCGCCTCCCAGAGTGCTAGGATTACAGACATGAGCCACCGTGCCCAGCACGGTATTACGGAATTTTGAGATGTGATCTAGCTTTTTCCTACAGAGAAGGAACTATGGAAAAGCACAATAAGACCAAACTCTCATTTCTCCTACACATGGCAAATTTAACTGAGTACTCTAGAAAGGCATAGAAAATTAGTTAATAATTACTTACAGTGCTATAATTCCTATCAACAGCATTCATTAATTTATTAAGTATTTATTTAAGACCATATATTACTTGTCCTATTAGCATTAAGTGTCACCATTAGCAAGTTCTGATTATTTAAATTATTAAATATGGCAGAAAAATGAAAACTGAGATTTAAAGTTTTTATTATTAATATGGTTAGTATATATGTTTCCCTAGAAATGCAGTCAATTATTTATAAAGTATTCCATATTTTATAGAATTGCTAGTCTTTCAAACACTTTTACCTGTTCCTGTCATTTCATTATCAGTCATTTCTGGTAGGGCTTTCGGCTTAGTTGTCATCTTATCTTGTTCATCAAGGTTGACCTCTACAACAGAATCTAACGAATCAAGCAACACAACTGGAAAAATATAAAAGAAAAAAATATAAGGAATGTAGAGAAATTCTGTGGTTCCTTGGATCTAATAAAATTATTTTAATCATATGTAATACATATAAAAACAAAGGAATATTTATATAAAATGGTATATAATCTTAATAAGCATGATATATATAACAAATATGATTTTCTTCCTATGGCTAACATCTAACACATAACTATGCTTATATGCAAGTTTAATGTACATTTATATGTGGAAGGCAAAGGGCCTGAGAAAAACAACAAAAAAGAAATATTCTCAAATGTAACAGAATAAATTCAAGATAGGCACAAGGGATACATTACTGAGAAATGCTAGAACTTTAATTCCTTAAAGATATTTAAAAGACAGAGTGATTTATTTGGAATTATTTAGATGAAATTCTGAACAGACTAGTTTTTGCCAGCTAAAATATATGAATCTACATAATATTTACCATTAGCCAGCATGCCAGTTTTCTCTTCTTCCTAAATTAAAAGAAGAAAATGCTTGTGTTTTGAAACCAAAATTATGTAAAATGACCACAGTGTGAATAGTAGCAAAATTTGAAAGCCAGTGCTTTATTCCGTTATGAAAAGATCAGGAAAGTGCTTTCTAGGTTTCCTTCACCACTCTCATTCATTAGTAATTCTTCAAAACTAGACAGAGACTATAGCTCTGAAAGAACTTTTAAGATTCTCTTTGAACTTTCTGACAATTACCAAATTTAATTAGGTTTTAAAACGCCTTGCTTAACTTAAAGTATCTAGGTGCCATCTGCTCATCTACCTTGCTCAAAAATTCTCCTGTTTTTCAAACTTCAAGGTAACAGGGCTACTTCATATAAGAGTCCTACAATTATAACATCACCAACTGATTTTCCCTTATTGTTCAAAATTAATGACCAAATATACCTTACACTCATTTCATCTACATTTTGAAAGATACAACTTTCAGAAAGGCAGCAAGTCACCGAATTGGCAAGATACATGAAGTTCTTTAATATTATAGGTTCCCTTAGAGTAAGTTACCTAAGTAGTATTCCCTATATCCCCGACCTGGCTAGGCAGTATGTAGGGTCCTTCCATAAAAACAGAGCTTAATTCCTTTCTATTTGGATTCTTACTCAGACAGCTCTCTACAAGGTTTCCACATTTCGGTTGACACATTTTTATTCAGGGTATACTTTTTTTTTTTGTTACATTAAAATTTTATTCAATGACGTCCTTCTTGAAACCACAATATTAGTTTACAGAGTTTAAGGAAGAAACAAAGACAAAGCTTGAAATCAGAAAGATTAATGAAGATCAAAGTTACATATGACATATTAATTCCCATTTCCTTTTTCAAGTTTCTAGATTTTTTTTTTTGTGAATTTTCATGGGTAGAAAAAATAAGATTATTATTGGCCTGACCATAATGACTTTCTTGTGAATAGTTGTTGTGTTGAGTTTCTCTAAATGACCTTTCCTTTAATATACTGCACTACCATGCCTTCTACTGACCTATTAATTTTTTCACAAAATATTGTAATTACCATATTCCAAGTGTAAATCTCACTAAATTTCTAAGGATACTCATCAGGTCACATTAATCTTTGTGTTATTTCTAAGGTCACCTTGGTTTTCCCCTCCAAACTGAATATATAAATACCCAAGGACAAAGTACTAAGCGAATTTGAAAATAAAAATATTTATGTATACCCACAAAGTATTTCTCTCTTCTATTTAGAGAATCAATGGTTTCATACATGTTTGAAACATCTAGTTCTAACATACAGTCCTAAAAGAGATTGTGTCCAGATCAAAACCAAAATAACAAATAGTATTTGTTCTATGTGGCACGCAATATGGAGTAGTACTGGTAAAAATTGAGAAATGAGAAAATTAGAATATAGTACTGCTAAATGTGAATGGAATAATGTAATTCCTTATTTTAGTCAAATACATTTCAGACACTAATGTTACCACTAATACTGGGGAGAAGTATTTATTGGACTTCACAAGGCAAGTTATACACCGAAGAAAAGTGTAATTTAATATACTTATTTAAAAATTAGTTCTGAAATTTTTAATTAAGTTTTCAATTTCTAAAGCTTAACTGAAGGAAATTATTTGCCAAGAGAAACCGCTTATCAATTATATATTAAATTGATATCCTGAGTTAAGAAAATGTTTAACTGAGTGTTAAGAGACCTGTAAGTTTACAACAAGCAAGACTATCAAGAACTTCATATTTTGAGCTCTTCATATGGTAATAGTCAGCCAAGTTCATGAAAGAAGTTGCAAAACTGTCAAATATATAATTGATGTATACCTGTTTGGGTGCATTTATTTTTTCTGATTTGAGATTCTCTTTGCAATGAGTCTTTTCATCTTTAGTAGTCAAAGGTGCATCAATATCCTCTTCATCCTCAAAATCATCACTATAATTTTCTGAAAAAAATAATTTTAAAAAGTACAAGATCACACTGTCAAAAAAGTCAAATTTCAGGAAAAGACTGATGTTTTCTAAAGGAAGAAGATTATATAAGAATAATTTATTGAAATAGTAACATGAAGATACCTTTAAAGAACATATATTTTTGTAAAGATTTAATGAGAATTCAATCTATAAGACTATCTTAGGTTTACTTCATTTTTTTATACTTTCAAATAATTCTGAGAGTTTTATACTTGTAATCTTCTATATTATTAACCAACTAAAAATTTCTAGAGCTGTCCAAAGGATTTTATATTACATTTAAAGTAAAACTTTAATATTTATTTATTTATTTCCCTTTTTTGAAGACAGGGTCTTGCTGTCACCTAGGCTAGAGTACAGTGGCATCATTATAGCTCACTGCAACCTCATATTCCTGGGTGCAAGTGATCCTCCTGCCTTAGCCTCTTGAGTAGCTGGACTACAGGTACATGCAACATGCCTGGCTAATTTTTCTATTTTTTTGTAGAGACAGGGTCTTGCTATTGCTCAAGCCGGTGTTGAACTCCAGACCTCAAGCAATCTTCCTGCCTTGGCCTCCCAAAATGCTAGGATTATAGGTATGAGCCACTGCACCTGGCCAATATTTGTTCTTGTAAAGACAAAAATCTCCAATTGCTTACTTATAAAAGGAGGGATTTTTGTGAAATCTTGAAACTCTTAAAAAGGCTGGATTTTGCTCATTTCAAGTTGATTGATTTTTTTTTTTTTTTTGGTTTCTATAGGTATCTCTACTGTAAACCTTAAAATACTACTTATGCAAGACTTATCTCTGACCCTTCCATCAGGTAAATACTGGTCCCTAGATGACCTTTGCTGTTTCCCCAGTCCTGGGCACTTCTTGGCTAAAGCCTCCAAATTATATGTAAGTGGCTTTGCAGAAGGAAAAGGTGTCTCCATGTTAACTGATGCCATCAGTCTGCTTATGGAGAAGGTGGGAGGTTGGGAAGCTGCAGGCTGGACTATTCTCAGAGTTCATATAGAGCAAGAAGACTTTTGAACTCTAACCTGCTTGAATGTAAAATGGTCACTGATCAGTAGGGGCCATTTAGTAGAAATTTCAAAAGAGGTATGCCTTAATAGTAGTGTTAAATGATACCTAGAGTGGTTAATCTAGACTTCCCTTAACAAAGCATAAGAAAAGCCTCAAAAGGATCAAATGGTAGGATCAACTATTTACCAGAACAAAGCTCAACACTTTTTAGAATAAGAAAGCTAAACCCAGACATTCATCAATGCAAATTCACAATACTCAACATCCAATAAAAAAAATTACTAGACATCTAAGAAGCAGGAAAAAGTGTCCCATAACCCAGAGAAAAAACAGCTAATATAAAGAGATTCAGAAATGAACAAATACTGGGATCTATAAAATAGGCTTAATAGTAAGGACTTGAAAAGCAAGAACATAATGAGGAAAGATATTAAGGAGATTTAAGAAAAGATCCAAAAGGAACTTCTAGATTAAAGAAGAGGAAAAGATCAGTATTGTGAAGGCATAGCAATAGAAACTGAAGCATGGAAAGAAAAAACAGCTTTAAAAAAATGGAAGCATCTTAGTGACCTGTAGGACAAAACTTAGCATTCTAACATATAATTAGGGTCAAATGGCAGAAGATAGAAAGCAGAATTGATGTTTTAAGAATAGCCAAAATATTTTTTATTTTGATGGAAACTATAAATCCACAGATCAATGATGCTCAATCAACTCCAAACAGGATAAATACAAAAGCACACCAATATGCATCACAAATGCCAAAAACAAGGATAAAGAGAAAATCTTGAAAATGGGGAAAAAAACCAATAGGAATTACCAGTAACTTCTCATGAAAAATAAGGTCAGAAAACAATAAAATGAAATCATTTAAGTGCTCAAGGAGCGCACACCTGTAGTTCTAGCCATTCAGAAAACCGAGGTGGGAGGACTGCTGGAGCCCAGGAGTTCAAGATAAGTGAGCTATGTTTGCACCACTGAACTCTAGCCTCAGGGACAGAGCAAGTCTCTGTCCCTTAAAAAAAAAGCTAAAAAACCTCTAACTGAAGAAAAAAAGGGGGGGGGGGCAAAATAAAGCACTGGGAATGATAAATATGTTGATAAATATAAATTTTACATAAATATTCACTTTTTTATTTATTAAAAATACTTTTAAATGTTAACTGATTGCTTTAATAATAATAATGATAATAATCCATTGTGGGGTTTTAAAGGCATGTAGAAAAGAAATATATGACAAAACCAGGTAAATGGTCGAGTGGAGTTTACCGTTTGTTAGAGTTCATAGAAATAAAGTGACGTGTTATTTAAAAGTAGAATCTAATAAGGTAAAGACATATATTGTGAATCAGGGCAACTAAGAAAAAAATAAGGAGGTATAACTAAAAAGCCAAAAGTTGGAATAAAATAGAATACTGTAAATAGTCAATCCAATAGAATGCAGGATAAAAGCAACAACAAAAAAAGATGGAAAGATAGAAAACAAATGGCAAAACAGTAAACCGTCGTATCAATAAATACATTTTTAAAAAGGGTAGAAACACTTTAATTAAAAGTCAGAGAGTGCCAGACTGGACAAAAATGTAAAATCCAGCTATATGCAGTCTACAAGAAAAATCTTTTATATATAAAAACACAGATATATTAAAAGTTAAAAGATGAAAAAAGGTATGCTTTGTGGGTTTTGTTCAGGTTTCAAAGATTTCCACAATCCTAGCACAAAATTCCTTTTCTCTGTCTTCACAATTGGTCCGCTCCCCACTCTCAACAAATCAAGCAGTTTACTTAAAACAATTTTTTAGTAGCTCAGATTACAATATAAGCAACCCAGCTCTACCTGTTCAAAGCTATTTCTAAGACAATATGATTTTTCTTTTAATTATTGTTCCCCTATCAATGTCTTAACTAAAAGCTATATTAAATTTTAAAACCAATGAAATTACCTGCCAGTTCTTCATGTTTTGATTCATTCTCATGTTCATCTTCAGTTAGTTCTATATTGGCTTGACTGCTGAAAAAAATATTTAATATTATATGTTAAAAATATATTCTCATGCAATCCTTTGCATATTTAAAAAAAATCTCTAAAATTATTTATTTTCTCTTAAGTACTCTTATTCTGTCAAAAATTAAAAATGTGAGGCCAGGCACAGTGGCTCAAGCCTGTAATCTTAACATTTTAAGAGGCAGAAGCAAGACAATCCCTTGAGGCCAGGAATTCAAGACCAGCCTGGGCAACAGCAAGACCCCAACTCTACAAAAAATAGAAAAATAAGCCCAGTGTGGCGGTGTACACCTATATGTCTAGCTGCTCAGGAGGCTAGCCCAGAAGTTTGAGGTTGTAGTGAGCTATGATGATGCTTCTGCACTCTACCTTGGGCTACAGAGCAAGACCTTGTCTTAGAAAAATCAATGAAATAAAATAAAAATTAAAAAAAATTTAAAAAGCTAAAAATTTGGGAGCCATAAGGAAAATGTTTTGACAATAAAGGATTTTTAAAGCATAAGACTAATTGTGGTTGCAAAAGCAATACAAAGGGAAAAAATGCCATATTTCTGAAATACACATAATTTTATACAGAAATGTATTTGCATATACACATATTATATTATGACCCAGATAGCCCTTCTTTACTAAAGATTCGCAATTGAGAACTAGTTTAATTTACATAGAGGCCAGAAAAAAAATGCTGAAGTCAGAAATTTACATGCTAATAAGCAATTTAATCCTGAAGAAAGCTGAAAAGGAGCCTTAAACCAAGGAAAACTCAGCAAGGGGACAAAGGAGCTTGAGCATGTTTTAGTTATATTGAATATATTAGTTCACATACTGCTTTTTTTCAAATCAAGAAATCAGTTCTACTTTTTCAGTCGTCAACCCTGTCTTTAGTGATATCATCAATAGACCAGAGAAACTGTAAGACTATTATAATAATAATAGGGGCAAACACCTGATATTGCATAATGCATGTTATCCTGCACTTTGACCAGCCTGTTATAGAGAAAAATATTAATAGTTAAGAATACTATTAAGAAATAGGAAAAAGTTAAGAAATGTTGCAAAGTGGCAAAAAGTTGTGGCCCCAAAACCTGTGCATGCTTAATCTGTGTTGTCACCATTGTAAGAGGTAATCACCAAGGACCCTGAATGTCCCTGCACGTTCTTGCTGAGTATGCCAAGAATGCAAAAGCCTGACCATTTTTCACCGAGCCATTTCTCAGGGTTGTGCTTTGCAGTGAGCAATCTTGAGAGATGAGGTAATGTTTCTGTCCAAAGAATAGGCCTGCTTCCACTTACTATAAAGGAAAGCTCAGTGTTCCCCTTCCATAACTCACCCAATGCACATGCAGACAACCTCATGGATCCTTTGCTTTGCCCCCATGGGTCTCCTGGGGCATGGAGAGCTGATGCCAACAAACATTGACACTCGGGTACTGCGCTTTTACTTTGAGAAATAAGGTCTTTGGTTCTGACCCAGAAATCTCATGTCTATTGTCAACATCCATAAAACCAAAAGGCTAACTTTTTACCTTATAGATAGGGAAAAATTTTAGATCCTGCATAATTTATGATATTAAATGTACCACTTTATCTACTGTTTATCAGAAGCTAATCATCTTGAGGAGACTAGGCACTATAATAATCAGAGGTACGATTCTTCTGACCCTTAACTTTATTATACTTTTGTGTTCTCAAAATTCTAAATAAAATTATAATCTGCTTTCTATTTATAATTAAAAAATTATATGGATAACTAACCAAGAAGATTAAAGACCTCAGGTTTCACAAATACCTTGAGAATGGCAATGGTTTGCTGCAGGGGTGGGGAACCTGCAGCCTTAAGATCACACGTGTGGCCTTCTAGGTCCTTAAGTGCAGCCTTTTGGACTGAATCCAAATTTTACAGAACACACATTTTTATTTTTATTAATACACTTTTGCTTATATTTTACATTTTATTTTATTTTTAAAATGAACATATTTAAAATGCCAAAGAATAAAATAAGTTTCAATGAAATAATCCTCTCAGATTGACCAGAACAATTAGAACATTAGTAAGCCATAAGGGCAAAACTGACAGCTGCTATACCCATGATTTAGTTCTAACTTCCCCTCCCTGGTTGGCACCCCAGTTGCACAAGGCTGGTTGGCTAGAGTTTACAGGGGTGAGTACTCCACTCTTTTATCAGCTTTTGACAACAGTGCACTGTGTTTCTCTTTGAAGTGGAATTTGTGAATAATTGCACAGATCGACAGTATTTTTTTAATTGTCTTCTTAACAGCCCATCATGTCAAAGAAGACCAAGAGAATGCTGAAGTAAACAGATTTTTTACTGAAGATTGGGAATTGCAATATTATCTTGTTCTGCTAAATATAAGATTATTTTCTTGCTTTGTGATACTGCAATATCAACATGAAAGAAATTCAATGCTCATCAGCATTATAACACTCATAAAGACCACAAATATTTTAAATTAGAGAGAGAGGCACAAAAGGTCATACTATAAAAATTAAAAGATGAAAAGCAAAAGCAAAGACAATTCTTTCAATCAGCAATAAGACCTGGAAATAACACCAATAAAGCAACTTATAAAGTAGCTAATGTACTCAAGGAAAAAAGGGAAGCCATTTAGAGATGTAGAAATTGTGAAAGAATGCATCGTTGAAACTGTAGGATGCTTAGACCCTGATAACGTTTAAAAGTACAAACAACTGCCTCTTTCAAGGAGAACCGTAACTGATTGGCAGCATGAATTAGCCTTCAACTTAACAGAACAACTTCATGTGATACTTCAAAAGGAAAATACATATTATTCAATCATTTTGGATGAATCAACTGATACTACTGACTCAGCACAGGTTTTATACCTCATTTGGGTCATAACAGAGGATTTTCTTTGCTATGTGGAGTTACTTGCTTTGGGCACTCTTATGAACAGAACATGCAGAATAGATATCTTCTTATGAACAGAACATGCAGAATAGATATCTTCAACAACTTTCAAGATAAATGTTGTGAAGTTGGACTGAATTTGGTAAATTTAGTGAGTGTACGTACAGACGGCATACCTTCCATGACAGGAAAACATGAAGGGTTTATTGCACAGATTAAAAAAAAATATTAACAGTTCCAGATGCTCTCATTTCTTTTCATTGTATCTTGCACCAGCAAAATCTCTGTGCTAAAGCTGCTAGTTTAAGTGACACTTTGCAACAAGTTGTAAGTATTGTTAACTACATTCATGCAAATGCAACATGGCATGGTCAGCTTCATAACATGTTAAAGTTGAAAGATGAGGTATTCAGTGTGGATTTGCCATAACATTCTAAAGTATGTTGGCTATCATGGGGTCAGGTGTTAGCCAAAATTTGATTTCTGCAAGAATAGTTAAATTTTATGAAGAACAGAATCAACAATATGAATTATTGAAAGACGATTTCTATAAGAAGGCAGCATTTTTGTGTGGTATCATTTCATCAAAATGACTGGAATATTTCTTTTCAAGGTAAAACTAAGTCTATGTATTGTACATAAGTCTATGTATGTGACAAAAAAAATCCAAGCATTTCAAAAAAAGCTATCTTTTTTCAAAACACTTCTTCAAAAGGAAATTCTGGATGAACATTTTCCCCAGTTAGCAAAGGTTAGTGATGAGCAGGATGATAAATGCAAACCATTTAAAGAACATGGAGCTGCTATAGACCTATTAATTGGAGAATACAATGAAAGGTTCACTGACTCTGAGAATCATGATGTCACACTCAAATTAGCATTTCAGCCTCACTTAGTTCATATTAGTTCACCTACAGAACTATAGGTGAAACTGATTGAGCTCTCAGTAAATGACATTTTAAAGTCATTGTTTGATGCCAAGAAAGAGCCAATTGTAATATGGAAAAATGCAAAATACCCATGCCCTCAGCAACATGCCCCAAAAATGCTTTCTTGCTTTTCAACCACTTATTGCTGCAAATCTATATTCTCCTACCTAACCCAAATCAAGATGCCCTTAAGGTCATAAATGACTAATACTCATGTAGAGAAACAACTGAAACTATGGACCTTCATGCTACAATCAAATATTCAAATGCTTTCCAACAAAGAACAGACACAGCAAAGTCATGAAAAGGTTAACTTTAAAATTACCAAATATTTTCGTTTTTTGAAATTATTAAGTACATAATAGTTAGATTTTTACAAAATAATGTACATTTTCGAGTATATCTAATTGAAGTTTCTTGATTGCAGCCTTATTTGAATACAGCTAAATTATTGCAGGCTTCCAACATAAAAAGGTTTCCCACCCCTGGTTTACTGTACATACGACAGGAACAGCTCAGTCAACTAGTAGGATTTCTAGGATAAGTGAGGTTTCCTGATTATCATCAGAATCAAAACACAGAGGTAAGACACAGACCAAATTTATCTTTGCTCCTTGGTTCTTACTTCCCTTTTTGTTCCTTTTATCCCGGAAGTTTGTAACAGTATCAATAACTTGGGACTTTCTTACTAATTTTATCTATAGAAAGTCCCTTAATAAATCACTTTCCTAGTAAGGACTTACTGGCAATGTACTATTAGTCTCAATAGTATTTTAGGTATGAAATTTCAGATTCTGGAGGCAGTCTGAGCTCTAAAATACAAATGAGCATTTTCTATTCAAAGATAAGAAAAACCCTAACAATGAACAGAGAACACAGTTAAAAAATAAGATTTAATTTTGCTTGTTATACTATTTACCTAATCAAGCCCATGCATACACCAATCTTCTGAAAATTCAGAAAACACAGAAATCATTTAAGAGTTTATAGTATATTTACTTTACCTATGTAAAGCTTTAAAATGTATGGAGTCATTAGAATCCAATTCCTTATTTAACCTTGAATAATCAATGGAAGATGTTAAGCCTTTCTCAAGCCTGGCAAAAAATTGCTCTTTCTCCTCTTGTTCTTCTAATGTGTCCAATCCCAATCCAAGAATACTATGATTGAGCTCAGAAACTGCTAGTTCTAAATGGAAAGCACAAATATATGTTATTAACATATAGAATTTTGGTAAAATTCATTTTAATGATGTATTTATTGATACTATATAGTAAATTAAAAAATTTTTTACAAATACTTTAATCTCTTATACACCAAATATAGATTCATATTCTTAATAAATATGTAAGGTTTAGGCTTCTCTAGAGTTGTAATTCTAAGCCTCTAGGAAGATATTAAATTTGTCTACATGCTTTAGTAAAGGAGGCTCCAAGATAGTTAATTTTTATAGTTCTAAATATAAGCATTGTATTAATAATTAATAACTTATCAACTCATATCCCTCCACATATCTTACCATTTGCTTCTAAGCTGTCAATACTTAAGATAGAGGTTCCACTGCTTTTAAGAAGTTGAATCTTTTCAGTAGAGTCCTCTTCTATTTCCATAGCAGGCTGAGAAATCTTCTTTGTTTTCAAAAAGCTTACATTTGTTCCAAGCTGTCCTAGGAATAGGATATAATATAGTTGAATATTTATTTTAAGAGAATTGTTTTGACCAGTATGACAACACAATAATACTGTTATACTAATTTTGTGTGTAATAGATACAAAAGAAATCTGCTCTATTAAATAAAAATCCATAAGACAAATCTATAAAAGAAAGATTAAAATTCGATTTTATTGCAGCGCATCTTATTAGAGTATTTCAAAAATTTGCATAATGAGACACGATTTTTAAAAGTTACTTTGAAGCACAAGTACTTAATACATTATACTATGCTACCTTAAATAATATCTTCTGAGATTGAGATAGAAAGTTTATTCAAAGAAATAATAACAGAACTTTCCAACCTAGAGAAAGATATCAATATTCAGGTACAAGAAGGTCACGGAACACCTTTAAGCAGATTTAACCCAACAAGACTACCTGAAGGCATTTAACAATCAAGCTCCCAAAGGTCATGGATAAAGAAAGGTCCTAAGGGAAGAAAGAAAAAAGAAAAAAACAACATATAAGGGAGGTCTGATACGTGTGGCAGCAAACTTATGAGCCAGAAAAGAGTGGTATGACATATTCAAAGTGCTGAAGGAAAAAAACCTTAACCCTAAAATGTTATATCTTTCAAAAAAAAAACATCCTTCAAATATGGAGAAATAAAGACTTTCCCAGACAAACAAAAGCTGAAGGATTTTATCAACACCAAACCTGGCCTATTAGAAATGCTAAAAGGAGTTCTTTAATCTGAAAGAAAAGGATGTTAATGAACAATAAGGCATCATCTGAAGGTACACAACTCACTGGTAACCATGAATACAAAAACACAGAATACTCTATGCTGTAATTGCAGTGTACAGCCACTTATATCTTGAGTAAAAAGACTAAAAGACAAAACCTATCAAAAATGACTATAACAACTTTCTGAGAGATAGATAGTATAAAAAGATGGATGGAAACAACAAAATGTTAAAAAGCAGGGGGGAGGATGGAATTAAAGTATAGAATTTGTTAGATTTCTCTTTGCTTGTTTATTTGTTTGTAAGCAGAGTTATCACATGTTTAAAATAATTACTTATAAAATGTTTCTTGCAAGCCTCATGGTAACCTTAAATCAAAAAAACCTACAACAGATACACAAAAAATAAAAAGAAATTCAAACATATTACCAGAGAAAATCACTTTTAACAAAGGAAGACAGGAAGGAAGAGAGGACCACAAAACAACCAGAAATCAAATAATGACATGGCAGTAGTTAAGTCCTTATCTATCAATAATAACAGTCAATGTGAATGGACTAAACTTTCCAAGCAAAAGACAGAGAGTGGCTGAATGAATAAAAAAAACAAGAGCCAACTATACATTGTCTGCAAGAAATCCACTTCACCTATAAAGACACACATAGACTGAAAATAAACGGATGGAAAAAGATATTCCATGCAAATGGAAACCAAAAAAGAGCAGGAGTAGCAATACTTCTATCAGATAAAATACATTTCAAGACAAAAACCATAAAAAGAGACAAAGAAGGTTATTATATAATGATGAATTATAATTCAGCAAAAAGAGATAATAATTCTAAATATATATGTACCCAACCCTGGAGTACCCAGATATATACAACAAATATTATCAGAGCTAAAGAGAAAGATAGACCCCAATACAATAATCATTGGAACCACTTTCAGCATTGGACAGATCATCCAGACAGAAAATCAACGAAGAAACACTGGACTTAATCTGCACTACAAACCAAATGGACCTAAGAGATACTTACAGAACATTTCATCCAACAGCTGCAGAACTCACATTCTTCTCTTTAGCTCATGGATCATTCTCAAGCATAGAGCATATGCTAGGCCATAAAACAAGCCTTAGTAAAAGCAGTAATAAGAAGAAAGTTTATAGTAATAAATGCCTATATCAAAAAAAAAAAAAAGAAAAGCTTCAAATAAACAACCTAACGACACATCTCAAAGAACTAGAAAAACAAGAGCAAACCAAACCCCAAATTAGTATAAGAAAATAATAGGAGCAGAGATAAATGAAATTGAAACAAAAAACCCCACAAAAGAGCACAAAATGAAAAGTTGGTTTTTTGAAAAGATAAAATTGACAACTTTAGCCAGACTAAGAAGAGAGAAGATTCAAATAAATAAAATCAGAGATGAAAAAGGAGACATTACAACTGATGGTGCAGAGATCCAAAGGATCATTAGAGACTACTATGACAAATTATATGCCAATAAATTAGAAAACCTAGGGAAATAGATAAATTCCTAGACACACACAGCCTACCAAGATTGAACCAGGAAGAAATCCAAAACCTGAATAAACCAATAACAAGTAACAAGATAGAAGCAGCAATAAAAAGTCTCCCATCAAAGAAAAGCCCAAGACCTGATGGCTTCACTACTGAATTCTACCAAGCATTCAAAGATCTAATATCGATGCTACTTAAACTATTCAAAAAATTGAGAAGAAGGGAATACACCCAAACTTCTTCTATGAGGCCTGTGTCACCCTGATACCAAAACCAGACAAAGACCCAACAAAAAAAGAAAACTATAGGTCAGTATCTCTGATAAACATAGATGCAAAAATTCTCAACAAAATACTAGAAAACTGAATTCAACAACACATTTAAAAGATTATCCAAAATGGTAATGTGGGATTCATCCCAGGGATGCACTGTATATAAATCATTGGTTGGTTATATACATTGATGGTTCAATGTATATAAATCAATCAGTATGACACATCATTACAAAAGAATGAAGGACGAAAACCTATGATCATCTCAACTGATGCTGAAAAAGCATTCAATAAAATTCATTAACATTCCATGATAAAAACTTGCAAAAAAAAAAAAAAAAGAAAATGGGTATAGAAAGAACATACCTCAACATGATAAAAGCCATATATGACAGACCCACAGCTAGTATCATACTAAATGGGGAAAAACTGAAAGCCTTTTCTCTAACATATGGAACAAGATAAGGATGTTCATTTTCACCACTGTTACTCAACATAGTACTGGAAATTCTAAGTAAAGCAATCAGACAAGAGAAATAAATAAATGGCAACCAAACTGGAAAGGAAAAAGTCAAATTATCCTTCTTTGCAGACAATATGATCTCATACCTAGAGAAACCTAAAGATTCCACACACACCAAAAAGCCTATTAGAACTGATAAACGAATTCAGTAAGGCTGCAGAATACAAAATCAACATACAAAAATCAGTAGCATTTCTATATGCCAAGAGTAAATGATCTGAAAAATAAATCCAGAAAGTAATCCCATTTCAATGGCTACAAATAACATAAAATACCTGGGAATAAACTTAACCAAAGAAGTGAAAGATTTCCATAAAGAAAACTATAAAAATACTGATGAAAGAAACTGAAGAGGACACACAAAAATGGAAAGATATTCTATGCTCATAGATTGGAAGATCAAATATTATTAAAATGTCCATACCACCCAAAGCAATCTACAGATTCAATGTAATCCCCATCAAAATATCAATGATGTTCTTCACAGAAATAGAAAAATTAATCCTACAATTTATACAGAACCACAAAAGACCCAGAAGAGCCAAAGCCATCTTAAGCAAAAAGAACAAAACTGGAGGAATCACATAACCTGATTTCAAGTTTTACGACAAGTCTGTGGTAACCAAAACAGCTTGAACAGATACATAGACCAAAGGAACAGAATAAAGAACCCAGAAATAAATCCACACATCTATAATGAATTTATCTTTGACAAAGGTGACAAGAACACCTTGGGGGCAGGGAAATGGACAGTCTTTTCAATAAATGGTTCTGGGAAAAATGGATATCCATATGCAGAAGAATGAAACTAGACCCTTATCTCTTGCCATATACAAAAATCAAACGATAACAGGTTAAAGACTTAAACCTAAGACCTGAAACTATGAAAACTACTAAAAGACAACACTGGGGAATCCTTTAGGACATTGGTCTGCACAACTTCTTGACTAATACCCCCAAAGCACAAAACCACCCCTCTTCCCGGCATCCTCTCATCTTGGACCAGTGGCTAGCAAATCTGGCCCACTACCTGTGTTCTTGTACAGATTCCAAACGAAAAATGTTTTTTAATAATTTTTAACCATTTTAAATGGTTGGAAAAAATCGAAAGGATAGTATTTCATGACATAAAAAAATTATATGAAGCCATAAAAACAAATGAAATCCTGTTATTTGCAACAACATCTGTGGAGCTGGAGAACATTATATTAAGTGGAATTAGCCAAGCACAGAAAGACAAATCTTGCATGTTCTCACTCATATGTGGGAGCTAAATGCTAAAAAATATTGATTCATGGAAACAGATAGTGGTGGTTACCAGAGACTAGGAATGGTAGCAGGGAGGGAGAAGTAAAGTGGAGATGGTTAATGGGTACAAAAATATAGTTATTAATAGACAGAATGAACAATATCTGATAGCACACCAAAGTGACTATAATCAACATAAGTTAGGGTATACTTTAAAATAACTAAGAGTAGAACTGGAATGTTCCTAACGCAAAGAAAAGTTAAATGCCTGAGTTGGATACCCCAAATACCCTGATTGGATTAATTCACATTGTATGCCTGTATCAAAATATTACATGTAACCTATAAAGATATACAATTATTATGTACCCATAATAATTTAAAAAATTGTATCTCAGGACTTAAAAACTTAAACATGGTAAAATAAAGAGATTCTTTGAAATCATAAGAAAAATCTTCTGCCTTATTCCCTCTGTTCTTTACTTAGGGTGCTTTTGTTGCCTAAATCTTAACCCTCACAGAAATAGACTGTGGATGGCAAGAACCAGTATAATAAAACACAAAGAGGAAAAACTAGGTACAATTAAAAACAATAACAGGGGTTAAATAAGATCCTTTGTTCATATAAATATCATTTCAAGAAAATAGATGGAAATATTAAAAGATCTTTCAAAGTCACTATTTTTAAAACACTGGAATCA